CGGGTTCCACTCGAGCCATGGCTTGTCTAGTGATGTCACTTGATGGTTTCCTCAAAGTATGGCCAGCCAATCCATCTCCCTCCATTTCTTCCTGCCTATTTGTTTCACAATCGGTTCCTGCTGTGTTGGTTCGCTCCCAGAGATCTCTGTTGCTGATCTTTTCTGGCTGGCCATCTGATCTTGAGTATTGAGCGAAGACAACTGTTAATGAAGGTCTGTAGTTTGTTTGAGATGCTCTTTATGACGCACAGTGCAAGTCTCTGATCCGTATAGTGAGTAGCACTGACTGACTTCACATTGGAGTTGAAAATCTGGATCTTATTTCTGATGCTGAGTGCTGTTGACCTTCACACAGACTTGAGAGTAGTGAAAGCTTGTCTTGCTTTTCCGAGTATATTACGGGAAAACATGAGAGACACGAAAAGAAGACAATGAAACATATAATACGAAGGATAGAAGTAGCAAACACAACACGGAAGATCTGTGTGAAGGGGTGATTTGAAGATAAGTTGTACATAATTTCGCTGTATATAGAGATATCAAATCGCCAAATAAATATCCCGTTTGCAAGTCTCTTGTTTCAGCATTAAGTTTTTCGGGGGGTAAACATGTTCTCCGGAATTTGATACATCCGTTTCTCGCGGTCGTTATAACAATTAGCACCGGTTTTATAGTCGAACACACTGGTATTCGGTGACGGACTTATTTATTTTGCGAAAAATACCCATTTATTCATAAGTAAAAACACTGTTTTTTTGTTCAGCGAAGAAATTTCTTTTCAACGACTTCATTTTCAAGCTGTACAGTCGTATTTTTATTACAGAAAAAGTTATTATTTAGTGCCACTTAATAACTTTTTCTGTAATATAAATACGACTGTACAGCTTGAAAATGAAGTCGTTGAAAAGAAATTTCTTCGCTGAACAAAAAAACAGTGTTTTTACTTATGAATTATTTTTTTGGCAAAATGATGTACGGTCATGGTAATCACACAGAAACCTTACAATGAAATTAACATCTATAAGATTTATTCGTATTATACTTCTTTTTTGGTCTTCATACACTTAGTTCCTCTGACAAATTTGAATAATGCAATAAGAACAGTTATCAAGTGTTGGTTGGTTTGTAGGGATTTGATTGGTTATAGGTTTTACCACAAGCTGACATTAGTTAGAAAACCAGAAAGTCCTGGACAGCTGTTTCTTCCTTGGGTTTCGAACCCAGGACCTTCCGGTTACAGCGTGAACTCATAGGCTATCCAGACACAGCTATCCAATATTCCTTGTATTTTTGATAGTCCTCTAACTGATGTCAGCTGGTGATCAATCCAGTAACTCTAAACTATAACAGCCCAAAACGAAACTACCTAATTGAACGGATTAATGACCTTGAGCAACCAATAAGATGAGCCCGTAGTATATAGGTGAAATTATGGATGCTGTTCACGAATTACATTAGCGAATTTCATCCAAATCTAGTATTTAAGTACTGCTTAGACAACAAGCTCATTGGAGGGGGGGGGGGTAAATGTTTATATGGAGAGGTGTGATGCATTTGCGAAGATAAACCACCGGCTCCATTGGTGGATTTGTGTACAGATGCGAAGAGTGCTGAGGCAGGAAATCAGTTCGAGAAGATATGTCGCTCTATTTTTAGTTTATGGATGCTGCAGGTACTTTCTTCGCTAAGTCGAATTTGCCGTTAACGAAAATTATGATGATGTGTCACAACTGGGTCCTGAAAAGACTAATTACAGTGATGGTATTCGAAACGGAGAATTCACAAGTGTCTGCAGCACAGTGGTATCAGTACTGCATAGATAGAACTTCATGTAAAATGAACAATATGACCCAGATACTCAGTGGCATCTGTGTTCTTTTTCATGTGCGTGAGACAGTGCCTATAAACACGAAATGTAATCGAGGTGGATTGATTGTCAAACAGCACTGGGTATCGGGATTATAGGACACCACATTGCGCATGGGATATATTCAGACCGATGTTTTATTATCTATCATCCAACGTTTAATCCTACAAGGCGAAAACACAAACAGACCAGTGAAGTAGCTATAGCCAACCGTCATCCTTGGACTATATCTACAGAGTGGTCAATCATACGAACGGTATCGTTAATCCCTTCGATGTGACTCACACAAATTCTATCGAAAATTCTTGGAGTCACTTCAAAAAGAGTATCAGAACAGCGAACGGGTCGAGAAACACAATTATTTACAGTTATGTCGATAAATTTATGTACCGAAATTGATTTACCCTAACTGTGTGGACTCTAATGAGAAACTGGGAGGTTTCCTTGGAACCTATACAAGAACGTTATTCTATGTAACTATTTTTAATATTGCATTACTTTTATATAAACGTTTTTTCTCTTCAAATTATGCACTTTTACTTCGGATGCATCTGATTGGTAGATGTCGATTTTTTATTAAAGTCATTCATCCGTTCACATTTGTTATTTGTGTTATAGGACTGCTATAGTTTAGAGTCACCGAATAACTTTTCGTAGAATAGTGATGAATTCCATTTATTTCAAAGGAATTTCCTATTCCTTTTGTTGTCTTACCTTTCACAAAGAAATTTCATCTCTCCTATTTTCCCCTAAATTCGTTAATCCTCTATTTTCAAGATTCTTGTAGAAGATACCACCTACGATGTACAACTTATGAGTTATTTGGTTACAGGATTTCATCATGAGCTGACATTGGTTAGAGAACCATTGAAAAACCACCAAGAAGTACTGGACAGCTGTTTCGTCCTAGTTTGGGACTCTTCATCAGTACGCACCCACCGGGAAGTCGTGACCAGTAGGGTGCAGCAGGTTGGGTGTGAGGACAAATACTCGCCGAAGACAATGGCTAGCGGTTGCACTATATCGTGAATTGGCAGAAGTTAGAATTCATGGACCTTTGGATCGGGTCCCAGTGGCTTAATGGTATACGAGCTCGCCTTGTAACCAGAAGGTCCTGGGTTCGAATCCCGGTGGGTGTGTACTGCTGAATAGTCCAAAACTAGGAAGGAGGAAACAGCTGTCCAGTACTCCGGTGCTGGTTTTCCAATGGTTCTCTAACCAATGTCAGCTCATGATGAAATCCTGTAATCAATCAACCAAATACCTACTAACCAATACTTGAATATTATGAATTATTGTCAGTAACGCGCCGCACCGTACTATCATCACATTGAAATACATTCACTTTTTTGTTGTTGAAATTTCGCCTTAATTATATTAATATAATAGTTTTTTATTGTGATCATAATCACGTGTCTAATTTTTAAACTTCCTATACACGCTTTACCTTTTGCCCTATAATTATGATTTGATGAATCGATCAAATAATTAGTCAATCAATTAATCAATCACAGATAAGTGTGATCATTTTGCAACATGTGTCCTATAGACAGATAGCTGGTCATTAATTTGTTTTAAATATATATATGCATATATTCGCCCGTTATAATTTTAAAAAGTCCAGTTATGTGCGTGTGTGTGTGTTGTCCGGTAATATCACCATCAATAAATTTGGGTTACAACACTTACAGTGAACCACAATGTTAATACAACTAACTGTTTGTCTTATGTCAATAACAACATCATAGGGACTAGCATTTTTGTGTGTTCTTGATTCGGAATACCGTATTGCACGTTTACAAGCCAAGCCCGACCGAAAGCTGCTACCTTGACGTGGTGGTCGGGCTTGAACACCGCAATGACCCAACAAGCTATACTGGCTGGAACTTATGTTCCTGCAGGTCTTACCATGCCAGAAAGGTTGTTTGGATAGCGGTTAGACTAAAAGCAGTTACCCAATCCAATCCTATGACTTCAAACAAATCACAAAATATCATGCCGGATCGGTCGGGGCCCGGATTAACAACGACCGCGCTTTCTGCTGCCGTGTCACAGGGCAGAAGTGATAAATACGCTACTGAGACACACCAAATAAAAAAGAACAAACAAAAACAGGCCGTGTGTGACCGGCCTCAAGCAGTTGTCCCCTGGGCTCTGCGGTCACGCAACCAACTTCCACGGTGTGGGCAGCCGGGAAGTAACAATCGCCCTCACAACCCGAAGAGCACGCGAAACCTCTCTGACAGACAGAAAATAATAAAAATTTGAAGAATGCCAGTAGTTGTGTAGGCCTCAACTAAATCGTATACCGTTCCATACGTAAGCGATTATTCTCAACCTTTGCGTCGTTCTTTTAATAAATACAGTAAACGGAAGTAATCGGGGTCAAATACACGTAACCTTCACAAATTCCTTATACTTCATATAGAAATGCTTGACAGCAGCTTTTTGTACTTTGATTTTTATTCCTTCACGTTCCCAGTGGAACATAGGGCTTCAAGCTAGAGGTTTGCAGTTTCTGTAGCAGTGGTGTTTATTTCTACAGGATGGGGTTGCTAGCCTCATGCCCAACCTTAACTCTTCTCCAGCTTTTTTATTTCTGGCTTAGCGAGGTATAGGAAGTAGTGCGTGTGTGGCTGGGGATCGAACCCCGGACCATGTGTATAGTCGGCGAGCGTCCTAACCTCTATGCCACCGATGCACTGTACTTTGACTGAACTCTGAATTCTATCAGTCAGTCAGGTTTGCAATGTGGCCATCATTCTAGGTAGCTCGCCATCACGCTGCACATTGATTTGATGATTTTAGATGGAATGCAGCTCAACTGGAGATGGACAGACTGCACAGGAAGTCTCATGGTGAGTCGACGCTATGGTGACATTGAGATGTCGTGCACAGAAGATTGACGCGTCGACCAACAGTGAGGTTGACGAACAGCCTTATTAGATTAAAATCACCACACTGCGTGGGGAAACTCCACGCTTAACATATACTGTTGTACTGTACTGTACTGAGAATTCTGCGTATTTCATTGCACTTCTCAACTTCGCTTTTCAAGTGTGATAATTTTCCTGGATTCGAACATTGTTCTTGTTTTCTTTTTCTGTGTCTTGTCTTTTTTATTCAAAACTAGTACTCTGGCAATCCTTATTTCTGAATTGAATGCTCAAATTCCAAATGACTCATCATACTATCCATTGAAGTCAACGAATGATCTATCCTGTTCTGATGGTCTAGTTGAATCGAACACATCAGCTTGCAGTGATCGTTTGAAGCATAATTTATTGAAAACTTATGTTGAGGTAAGTATAGGATTACTTACTATAATTCCTATGGAGTAGTATCATATATTATGCAATCTTTATTACGATTGACTGTTATTACTAATGAGTAGCTTAAACTTACCAAGTAAACTTTCATCGATTTATCTTGTTATATTGTGTGTTGAGCATGTTGGACCACCTGGTTTCGCAATAAAAAGTTTTGACTGAAGTAAGATTAAGGGAGGAAGGCGATGGACATGATGAAACCAAAAATATGACACTGGATTATTCGTGAAACCTCTGATTTTTCATTTCATCCATCCATCCAGTATCAGTGTCTGTAAGTATGGTAGGTGCTTTGCACAGTCTAAGTGCAAAGTACTGTTACAAGATTGGCAGGAGCCTGTACCTGCACTCACTCTTGCGGGTGAACCGCTTGAAGTTGTTGATAAGTTTGTGTATCTGGGTAGTTGTGTGAGTGCTGGCGGAGGGGTGACGAATGAGATTTCCAACCGTATAATGAAGGCTAGGGTGGCATACATCAACTTGAGCCACCTCTGGCGCCGTCGCGACGCTAGCCTGGCTGTCAAAGGTCGGGTATACAATGCTTTGGTGTGGGCTGTCTTGCTCTATGCCTGTGAAACCTGGCCTCTCCGAGCTGAGGATGTGAGGCGACTCTGCGTGTTCGATCATCGCTGTCTCTGCAGGATTGCTTGCGTCCGATGGTATCATCGCGTGAGTAATTCTGAGGTTCGGCGGCGTGTGTTTGAACACAGTGGAGATCAGCATTCATTCAGTGTCGTCATCTGAAAACACCAGCTCTGGTGGCTAGGACATGTGCTGCGAATGTCATCCCAGAGGCTTTCATACCGGTTTCTAATCGCAAACCCTTGGACGAAATGGAAAAAGTGGAGAGGTGGTCAGCCCATGATGTGGAGTCGTGGGATGAAGAGTATTGATGATGGGTTAGAATCGGTTGGTGCGTCACAACTCCCTGGTTGGGGTCCGCGAGATAGCTCGAATCGATGGCTCGAAACGTTATCGGATATGGCCAAGAATCGTAATCAATGGCGAACGTGTTGCAATTTCCTTCTTTCTTCCCTTCCTGATGATAGTTAACGAATACTGTTTGAACTAGTTAAACATGACTGTTTTCCTTCCTGATGAAGTTCTTTATCCGTTTTCTACTTATATTTTTACTTTTAATCTATGTTGTTTTATTATTATTGTATGGCGCATCTTTCTTGGTGCCATATTGTACCAAGTTTTTTCTGCGTTTAAGTAATAATAATAATCCATTTGAAGAAGTGTCTGCTGTTTACTAGCTGGAATATTCAAAATATTAAAAATCAAATTACTAGGGACTGTTTGATGTGCAGATGTATCCACTTTCTATCATTGAAATTCTAAGCATCACTAGTTGCTTCATCTGTTTGTCAGTAAAGCTTAGATACAATGTTACTGTCTGCATTTGTGAAGAGTCGATTTCGTGTAGAAGTTTGCAGAATCATTTCAAAAATTATATCATTATTATTATTCCCTTGGATACCGAATGGAACATATGGCTTCAACAGTACATCTTCACTTTGCTCTACTTTTGCTGGCCTCACGATCGCCCATAATCTCTCATCTCCTCCATGAAAATCTTGGACAGACGCCCAACTTGTTGCTATAGTATGATGCGGACTGTCATTCGACAATTCCCTCAGAGTGTGTCCGATCCATCTTCATTTTCTTATACATATTTGTTGAGCAATAGGCTGTCAGTTGGTTCGTCTCCGAAGCTTCTTGTTGCTTATTATTTTTAGCCAGTCATTTGATCTTCAATATGGAGCTAGCGAAGGGGGGCAGCTGTAGCCTGTTGAAAATGCTTTTCGTGACTTACTGGCTAAATTTCTGACCCATATCGAAGAACTCACTGACTTAACATTGGTGGTGAATACCTGAATCTTGTGCTTTGTGCCGCAGAGTGCGGAAGATTTTCAAACTGATTTCAGAGTGAATAAGGTATGCCTTGTCTTTCTAATTCTGACTGGTTTTGACATCTTCATCCGTGCCGTGTTTACAATGCTTCCGTGAACACTGTTTTGTTCTGTGCCTGTGAGACCTGGCCTTTTCTAGCTGAGGGTGTCCGACGACTCTGCGTGTTCGATTACCGTTGTTTCCATAGAATTGTTTGCGTTCGATGGTATCATCATGTGAGTAATTCTGAGGTCCGACAGAGTTTTTTTGTACATAGTGGAAATTACCATTCGTTGAGTGTTGTCATCTGGAAACACTGGCTCCAGTGTCTGGGACATGCGCTGCGAATGTCATCCCAGAGGCTTCCGTATTGGTCTCTGTCCGCTAACTCTGGGACGGGATGGAAAAAGTGGAGAGGTGGTCAGCCCATGACGTGGAGTCGTGGGATGAAGAATATTTGTGATGGGTTAGAATTGGTTGGTGCGTCACGACTCCCTGGTTGGGGTCCGAGAGATAGCTCGAAAAGTTATTGAATATGTCCAAGAATCTTAATCAATGGTGAACAAGATGCAGTTTCCTTCTTTCTTCCCTTTCTTGTTGACAGTTGACGAATACTGTTTGAACTTTGCTGTTTTCTTTCCTGATGAAGTTCTTTACTCCGTTCTCCACCTATATTTTTACTTTTGAATCTATGCTGTTTTATTATTATTGTGTGGCGCATCTTCTTGGTGGCATATTATACCAAGTTTTTTGTGTTTAAATAAATAAAATAAATAATAACGTCTGAGCTGCTTAATTATACCTAACCTTCTTTTGACTGAAATCGAAGCTTTGCTACCAAATATATATTTTTGTAAATAAAGGCCTATGGATAGCATGCTTGTGTAAATTAAGGTGTGTACAGTATATATATGATTATCTATAAATCTGGCAATAGTAGAGATAAGAGGAAAAGGTCAAAACTAGGGATAGAATATTTATGTTGTTTTTTTCTTTAGATTAAGGTATCCGTATTGTCATAACAAATCGATCGATCAGTAAACGGATAATCAATATATTATTGTCAAATGTCTGACCTTAATTGCGTTTTGTTAGCGAAGCTTTTTGACTTAATATCTAACTTTGTTCTCGGTTTATCCTGATTTTTCCTTTTCTTTCTTTTAAATTTGTTTTTATCCCCTCTCCATCCCTCCCTCCCTTTCATTTATCTATTTACAGTTTGCATTTAACCCGGATCAACTATTGACAACATGTATCAATCATTATTTGAATGATAAAGAACAAAGTATTACAGACACGAAAAATGTAATCATTGACAGTAGAACCAATGTGGCAACGTCGCTGATGACAGCATCATCATCACCTTCAAGAAAATCAATAGTTAATCAATACTTTCCTCTATCCTCTCTGCATCATTCCATAATACGTGGTTTAATTCTAGTCCTATGGGATACACATTGTCCTGGACATATATTAACCCATTTATTTGATAATATATGGTTTTCGCTAGCATTAATTGTCAAATCAATGACACAATATTTATGTATAAGTAAAAAGATATGGGTAAGTTTATTGATTTATTTATTTATCTGTTCATCTTGTATGCTTTTATTGTTTGTTTAATTTACCCTCACCACAAAAATTGTTTGCCTGTGGATTAGACTACACTCTGTTGAAGTCTATAGTGTGGGGAAGGCGTACTGCTGACGAATATCGTTTTAATTGTTTTCTCTAAGCTGGTGTTGGTGTCGTTCTCCTATAGAACAACTTCATTTATGCATAGACTTTTTGATAAACTAATTTCCGGGATATGTTACACTTCGTTCATTTATTCAGCCTCTATTTTCTTTCAATAGGAAAAATTCTATGATGGAGTTGATTTAAGCAGACATATGAGGTGCTATTTTATGTCTACATCTTGTGTATGTCATGGGAATACGTATTGGAGGGATTATAATAATCTCGATGATCATATACTGCCTTCACTTTATACTGATAATCAAATTGTCTTGGCCAGAAAGAATTAGCCAATAAGAAACTCTAGAAATGATTGAACCAAGAACCTATTGCTTAACAAATATTCTGAAGAGAATGATGATGTTATGGGGCACAATCTGAAAGAAACGGCCTCTTTTACCTACCTTGGAAGCATCTTTTCAACTACAGGCGGAACTGACGAGGATGTCAAAGCAAGAATCGGAAAAGCAAGACAAGCTTTCACTACTCTCAAGTCTGTGTGAAGGTCAACAACACTCACCATCAAAAATAAGATCCAGATTTTCAACTCCAATGTGAAGTCAGTGCTAATCACTATACAGATCAGAGACTTGCACTGCGCGTCATAAAGAGCATCTCAAACAAACTGCAGACCTTCATTAACAGTTGTCTTCGCTCAATACTCAAGATCAGATGGCTGGCCAGAAAAGATCAACAACAGAGATCTCTGGAAATGAGCGAATCAACTCAGCAGGAACCGATTGTGAAACAAATAGGCAGGAAGAAATGGAGATGGATTGGCTGGCCATACTCTGAGGAAACCATCAAGTGAGTGACATCACTAGACAAGCCATTGCTCGAGTGGAACCCGAAAGGGAAGCGGCGAGTTGGTCGTCAGTGCGAGGGTGGGTGACTTGGAGGAGGTGATGTGAAGAGGAGATGAAAACGTGTGGGCAGACATGGAGCCAGGTGAAGACTCTAGCAGAGAATCGGACGCAATGGAGACGCACGGCTGAAGCCCTATGTTCGTCTAGGAATTAAAGGAAACAATAATAATAGGGCACAAGCTGAGGAGACTGTCGAATGACATCATGCGCAATACGGATCATCGCTCGAGGGGGGAAACGAAAAGTTGGACATGTGTCCGTGGTTGTTATGGAGGAGGTCGTTTGCCGAGGGGGTGATCGTGGGATCAGATGAAGAGGAGTACAGAGAATAGGGCGAAATATAGATCTGCTGTTGTAGCCCTGTATTTTCCATTTGGAACCAAAGGGAATAATAATAATACTGGTTGAAGCGTTCATGAGAGGTTTCATCTGTTTTAGGTTAGACTTAGTCAGGAATTGACTACAGTTAAAAAACCATTGAAAGCCATGGAGCACTCTATAGCACTATAGTTTGTACACCCAAGAAATCATCATGGCTATAAAAGGTGGGACTTCAGGTTACAAGTAGTTATGTGGTGAGAGATGGTTGCTAGCCAAATTGGTTGACAGTAATTGAGGTCAAAGGTCAAGATGGACAGGCGGATACAGTTAACATATAGATGAACTGACACAGCCACAAGAGATGCAAGGTTAACTTTCTGTGAGAAACAACCAATCAACAGACTGTATTTTCTACTAACATTAACCTACAATAATGTACATCAAAATCTATAAATATGTGTTGATTTTCCGTAATAAACGTTCTGTTGCCTGGCCCTTGTCCTCTGTTGTTACAGTTTAAGTTGTTGCACTTCATATAGCACACACAGGTAGAGTGAAAATAAATTCAAAAAAACCACAATAAGCAGATTTTCCCTGCAGAAGGAATAATTATATGAAGAATCAATGAAGATCTGATGTATCCTGGAGATCACAAAAGGTGTGAATACATCTGCACCACTGAAAATTATTTTCAGCCATTCCATCAATAGTCTCCAGCTTTTAATTCTTAACGTTTCGAGGACCTAAACCAGGTAGTCTGCACTTCTCTACGTGGATCAAATCGGTCCATGGATTGACGCCATATTTTGCTTTGACCATTTTGTATATTTTTCCAACCTTATCCTACATCATTTGACATTGGTCGACTAGGCAGGGGATGTCTCGATATGGTTAGTACCATGACCTAACCATTTAAATGGATGGAACTTGTCAACCTCATCAATTGACATTTCTCTTCGTCTAGGTGTTCACCATTCAGGCAATGACCCGCGAATTCTAGCTCTTTTCAATACTCCATAAAGAGTCACCTCCATCCAATGCCATTGGCAAGAATATGTCACACCCGAATTGGTTCGTCCCACCGATCACGATTCCCCAGTAATTAACCGCTTGAAGTCTTTTTTCTGTTGTTTACTCTGCTTACATGGTGATGAGTAGACAAAACGAATGGTATTTACTACTATTATTACTATTTCTTTTTTCGTCTAGGCTGAAAGGTCTGGTGACTCACGTTTTTCGTCGTTATTCTGTGAAGATCTGACTATATTCATTCAACTGATTGGCTCACGTTTATTATCCTCTTTTGGTAATACAACAACATTACGCAATCCTTTAAATAAAAACAATGATTGTTCAGCAATGCCATTGTCAGGTACTACTACTGGTGGTGGTGGTTCCACTCATACCACCACTCCACTATGCATAATATCATCAAATGGACAGCTGTTAAAAACGGAGTCATCAGTTTCACTGAGTACTTCACAGACAAGTAAATGCACCAGTGTAAATGAGTCGGTAACACCGAAAAATTCACTCGGAGAGTCAGTCAACAGACAAACTTTTCCTACAAAACATACCAGTAATGATGTTTTCAATTTTAATCGAATTGATGTCATTCATGCAATGGGAAAATTTTTAGGACATTTATTCAATTTAATGGATCGAGGCTATGTATTGAAACGTGTTCGTGATCTACTAACATTTCTTGAAATCTCACCAAGAATGGTAAGTGTGCTCTTTTTTTCCTGATAAGGCTTAAAGGTCTACATTTTCAGTACCAGTGATGTTGTTTTTACAAACAGGGCATTGATAGTCTCACTCACTCACGCCCAAGCTTATCTCTTTCCTTCCAGGGCTTACTGCCCCGATTGGGGGCAAGGTTTAGAAGTGCGTTGGCTGCGAATCAAACCCGGACCTTCTACGTGGCGGCTGGAGGCAGCATTCCACCGTGAAATCATCATGTGTATAATATTGGAAAATCTAGTCTAGTTTATGAGTCATGGGAGATAACTGAGCATTTGCTGTACACACGCATTAAATTATTGTTCACTGTGATGTGTAAAGCTGTCTATGGAAAGTATTAATCAGTCAATATGGAGTCACTGGCTGTTGATTTTACCTATGCACAAGCCTCCTTGGGTTTTTATGTGTGTATGTCTGTTATTCAGCAAGCAACATGTATATTAAAGTCTGTCTGGTTTCCGGGACCTCAGTAGATGGAGCAGCATCTGGAACTGTAATCCTCTGGTTTAAAATCCGTTGCTTGATCCAGTGACTCACAATAGGTAGTTAGGTACCTGAGTTCTAGTAGGAAGTCGTGACTAGTAAGGTACAGCAGGTCGGATGTGAGGATGAGTACTCACCACCGATGACATCGGCTAGTGGTCACTCCATATCGTGAACTGGCGGAAGTTGGAATTCATAAACTGGACATTGGATCGAGTCCCGGTTGCTGCTGAATGGTCTACGAGCTAGCTCGCCTTGTAACCGGAAGGCCTTGAGTTCCAACCCTGGCGTTTGGGTGGATACTTCTGAAGAGTCTCGAACTAGGACGAAACAGCTGTCTAGTATCCCTATACTTTCCAGTGATTCTTTAGCCCATGTCACCTCATGATGAAATCCTGTAACCAATCAAGTCCCTACAAATCAAAACTTGATTAGGAATTCAAATATTTTTTTATGTCTCATTTTTGTCTACATTTTAAGCATTTTATTAGTCTCTCTACTAACTGTCTGTTTCACCTTCCCGTTGAGATTTTTCTATTCGAATATCAATTTGATTAAGCAGTCGCCTGTACACAACTCAATTGAGTGGGATACAGAAAATATTTCCTCACTCAGTTAAATCACCGTTTTAAAACGTGATACCGCTTACTCTCCACCATGTTTCATATCTCTGGATTTGAATTGTTAAAGTAGTAGTAATAATAAAAGTGATTCAACTTTGTTGTACTTCCGTTACTTAAAAAAGTCAACTATTGCACAACCAAACTAATTGAGCACACTAAACAGTAGTTTTTAACCTTCACGAATGGATGTCATGAGGTTAAACTGAATTATTTTTACATCCGAGATAAATTTATCATGCAATTTCTGTTATTTATACATTGATTTCCTGTATTTTGTACCGATAATTCTTTCCAGTTTTTATTCCACACCTCTTACAAGTTAAATGTGAGGGAACGTACATCTTTGTGTATATCTTTGTACACTGCCCGTTTTGTATTCTGGTAGATGGTACCTACTACTATAACAGTTAATTATATATATATATATATATATATATATATATATATATATATATATATATATATATATATATATACAATATAGCGGTTAGGATTCCTGGCTTTCAAGCAGGCGGCACGGGAGCACTTTTGTGCATCGGCGGTTCAGCGGTGGAACGGTCACCAACCATGCCCCACGTGGTCGCGGGTACGATCCTCGGCCGACGCAACCCTTAACCTCACTAACTTGGTATGTAGGCCCATAAAGGGGAAGGTCGGGTGTGAGTTAGGCTAGCAGCCTTACCCTGTAAAAATAAAAAACCCACTACTGCCTTAACTACGAATCTCTTGCTTGAAGTACTATGTTCCACTTGGAATGTAAAGGAATAAGATGATAATTTTTTTTATTCCTTTAAGTTCCCAGTGGAACATAGGGCGCTTCAATCTATAGCTCTGAAGTTTCGGTAGCAGTGGTGTATAATTTTACAGGGTTGCTAGCCTCATGCCCGACCTTCCCTTTTAATCAGTCTTGTAACTGGTGTAGCGAGGTGAAGGAGGGAGTATGTCTGTGGCCGGGAATCGAACCCCGAACCATATGCGTGGTCGGCGAGCATTCTACCGCCGTGCCACCGATGCACTGAGTCCTGTTACACCTACTAAAAACTTAACCAGTCATACGGTATTCTCTACTTTCATTTTGACAAATATATATATGAACACATTTGGTGTATAGTTGATCGCGCTGATCTCAAATTGTATTATTATTATTGTTTTATTTTTAGCCTGTTGATAAAATTGATCAATTGAATGAGTTACGTTTTGAATTGTTACGTAGTATCTGTGAACATGAACATTTTATCCCGTTGAATTTACCAATGTTAAATATATCAGATGGATCAAGTAAGTTTATGTATGTGTGTATGTATGTATGTATGTGTGCATGTGAACTTTTACAGGCTTATTATGATTGTGATATTTGTTGTTGTTGTTGCTGAGGGCATTCTGGTTTAAATCTTTTTATAATGGAATGATTTGAGATTTTGTTATATTGAGTCGGGTACTCTGACGAGATTTGCGTCGGTGGCACAGCAGCGGTAGAATGCCCGCCAACCACGCATGTGGTCTGGAGATCGATCCCCGGTCACAGAAGCACTCCTTCCTTTACCTCGCTAAGCCAGTAATTAGACTCTTAAATGGGGGAGGTTGGGCATGAGGCTAGCAACCTCATCCCGTAAAAAATAAACATCACTGTTACAGAAACTTCAGTCCTCTAACTTAGAGCCCTATGTTCCACTGGGAACGTAAAGAAGTAAGAAAAAACTCTGACAAGATTTGGATCAACTATCAGTTTATGCATATTTTTCTTTTGATACACATTAGTCCGTACACCATTGGTTCGATTTCGGCTATTATGCAAGTTATTGCTTTGACCTCCGACATCATTAGATGTTAGCTGGTTTATGTTCTTTATTATTTCTTTTTGAGTAATTCTTCAGCTACTTATAAGTAGTAATGTGAATTCCAGCCATACTTTTCACAAAATACTATTTGGCACACCGGTCTGTATATCCCGTTAGAGTATTCTGAAACTGAAACCTCCACTTATCTCATTAGTAACTCCTGACACTTATCAATATAAGGTTATTTATGATTCATAAGACTTCTTTTTTAAAAAAAACTCGATTATTCCTCCTTATAATTCATAGATGAATACATCATTTTTTATGATTTAATTCAATTTGGACTTCCCTGTTGATTGATTGGAGCAAAGTACACTCGGCCTCTGTTGACATGGAGGCTCCTTTAGCAATAGCTTCGACGATGTCTAATGATTTAACCTGATGCAATTTAGTGCATGGTGACTAAATGACACCAAATTACTCCAGGTTAAATCATCAGACATCGTCGAAGCTATCGCTAAAGGAGCCGACATGTCAACAGAGGCCGATCGCTTCTGTCCAAACAATCAACGGAAAAGTCCGATTCGATTTAAAAAATAACTGTTATCCGTTGCGCAAAAGGTGGATAGCTCTAGTGGCCAATGTGGTCTAGTGGATAACGCTTTGGAGGGTTTGAAACTATGGCTACTGGGTTTGAGCCTTAGCGGGGGTGGGGGGGGGGCAGAACACCATCACTCACTGACTGGGGAATGTAGGTACATTGAGTTGATGAGTCCCCATAAAGGACGAAATTATCGTCCTGATGGATTCCACTGCTAGTCAGTCACCATCCACTAAACTACAACATTTCTATCACTTTGATGGGGATAATCAAGGTGCTGTAAAGGTAAGAGATAAATTGTCTTGTACACACAGGGGGGGTGGGCTTACGCTTTTGGATGAATGCCGTCTCAGCGTATTTCGGTATGGGCCCCTGACGGATATTTTTTATTGATAGTCTTGAAAGCTGTTCCCATATCAATCTTCTGATTCTTACCCGTTGTCCTGCAACCTGCATTTATGGAGATTTCAAAATTCAACTGTATTTCTAAGCGCAAGACGTGATTACTCCTTCGTGTGTATGCACTTCCACACACATGTAAATTCGTATACAATATAGGTTGTGGCAAATATTTTTGACTGTTCATTTATTGCTCATAATCATATCAAGGCACTCACACAACTTGATATGATTATGAAGAGTAATAATTTGTGCTCGAAACGTGGTCATCAGTAAATATTACTGTATAAAACACTGTGAGACTTTATCAAAACAAATTTTACCCATAATGGAATTATATTCTACCACAGTGCACAAGTTCTATTCTTATATCAACCTAGAAAAAAGCTCAACCACTGCATCGCATTCATTTGCATTTAATCATAAAATAGGTGGGGTAAGACATTGTGAGAGTATTAAACAGTGGAGAGACAGAGTGGTTAGTCACTGAAGCTTTGTTTATCGATTCGGTACCGCACACGTGTAGCCAGAATGACGCGACGCTTATACTGGAGACATGGAAAGTGGCAACAAACAACAAGGGGAAGAGGTAGAGAGAGAGAGGAAATATATATAATTACAATTTGTGAAGCCTTGTAACTAAATTAATATGATTCTGAGCAATAATTTATGCTCGGAACGTCATCCAATTATTGGTACTGTATCATTGGGGGATATTTAAAATAAACTTATCTAATATGAAGTTACACTCTACCACGCTGCCGAAGTTCTATGCCTACATTAATCGATAATAACTCCTGCCAATCAGTCTTCTCAAATATATCATCAACTTTGCAATCTAAGAGGAGCCAAGTTAAACTTGAATCACCACTAACTACCAATCAGCGAACGGCGTCGAATTATCCAATGAGATTCACGAACGTAGTTCAATGTTGTATAGCGCTTGATTCATTTCAAATGCGTGCCCTTACAAGGTTACGTTTGCAATTCGAGGAGGACAGTGTTTTCCAGTATTGCCTGGATTTAGGGTTGCTCCGGAAGGAGCGAACTTGTTCGTGTGGTGGTATCATGACTTTAAAAAGCTATAGCAGGTCAACTGATGGATTTGTCCATCGTTGTGCTATATGCTTGAAGCGTGTTAGCATTAGAGAGGGTAAGCTGATAATTTTAATATTTCGTAGGAACTTTTTTTGCAAGGTCACACCTCTCGTTGACGCAAATTTTATATATCTGCAACTACTGGGTATTGAAACAGCCAGTGAGAGCTGCAGCTGCCGAGACGGAGAACAGCCTCGTCTCAACAGTTCAATGGTACCAGCATTGTAGAGATATTGCATCTTGGAAAATGGAGATCACTTCGTTGTTGGGTGGGGACGACGTTGTAATGCACGTGGATGAGACTGTGTTGCTGAAGAAGAAATACAACCGTGGTCGCCAGCGAGCGAATAATATCTGGGTTATAGGTTTATACGATAATTCCCTCCGAAAGGGATTTGTTGGAAGAATAGGAGATAGAAAGGCGACTACGTTAATACCTATTATAACGAGACTTGTCAAACGGTGGTTAATTATACACACGGACGACTGGAAAGGTTATAATTCGCTGTCATCCTTGGGATATATTCATCACAGAGTGATCCATTCAAGCGATTTTGTGGATCCAGTTACCGGGACTCATACAAATTCTATTGAAGGATTTTTGGGCCGGTTGAAAAATCGTATAAGGGCTATAAATGGATCCCAAAAGAATCTCATTTACAGTCATTTAGATGAATATATGTATAGAATGTGGTGTGACTTTTCCATTGACAGTCCGATGCTGAACTGTCAGATGTTTCTGTCCCATGTTCGGGACAGAAATATACGTTTCCACTTATCATAAACGCCTCTTTCATGTGATTGGTCCGTTCAAGGTCGTTTGCTGATTGGTTGTTACTGGTGTCGAAAGTTTAACTTTGCCCTAAGAGGTGTTTGTTTTCAACACAAAGTAGTTTTGTCGGATAGAACAGTCGAAGTAATGAAACGCCTAACATTAGTGGTCGTATATTATTGTATAAACTTTTTTTTATTATCATTGTTGCTATTATTGTAACAGTTGAGCAAGACTCTGTCAACAGACTATTTGCTCTAAAAGTAGAAGATACTAAGGGTAAGTGTTTCTCTTGTGTGTGTGTGTTGGCTTGTCTCCTTTTTTTGTTACTTTACCAATATTGATTATTCTTCTGTACACACATTTATTGGATTGTATGTCTTATATATGCTAATAATTAATCATGCATGGTCAACAATATACAATTATTTTCTTCAAAGTAATCTTAAGATTATAAATATTCTTTATGTTAATGGAAAGAGAAGTCCTTTCAGTTAGTTAATAGTATACTTGAATTGATAGAGCTTTCTTTATATCAGATATGGTGGTGAAGTGTGTAAAGAGTACATTTAACGCGCAATAAGATTCCGAGGATAAACCTTGGAAACTCCTATTATCCCCCTAGTCTGTTTCAGCTTCAATCAATCATTCTCACGGTCTGTCTTCTAATCAATCTTCCCTAAAACAGTCTATTGTGAGGATATTTATTTAAGATGAGTTCCTCAGCTCTCTGTTCCAATGACAGTCAGTCTGGAAAATATCATTTCCACTGTCGTATTATAATGAAATGAATATCAGACCTTGAGAAACTCTACATAGCATTCCTAATATGATTGGAATTCAGATGACATTTAGACCGACTAACTCATTCGGAGACAAATCCAACAGATCCAATTAGTGGAAATATAATAATATAATTTACCGAATATTAAGGTTCAGTTACATAAATCAAACTGGTAGGTCAGAGTCAATTTAATTCTTTCGGAACATTGGAATTAAGCTAGAAGCTGGAATGATTGATTCACCCTGTTCAATCAAGTAATGTGGATGTATAGGTGTTAGGATAGGGTGAAAGTATTAGAAAGTAGTATAGTTAGGTGGAGAGAGAGAGAGAGACAGGAAGTTAGTCACTGACACTTTGTTCATTGAGTTAACACCAAACACGTGTAATAGAAATGACGCAACACCTTTACCAGATAACTGGAAAGAGGTAATCGAAACAGCCGCGAATAAAGCTATATATATATATAAAGCAAGTTATGAAGTAGCATGAATACATTGATATGATTATAAACAATAAATTGTGCTTGAAACGTTGTTATACAGTCAGTTGTTGAAACTATATATATATATATATATATATATATATATTATCATTGTGTGTTACATCACAAATATAAAGCTGCAAATGCTCACTGTCGCTATATCAATACCATGTTGATTCGTTTGGGTTGTGTGTGCCTGCAAAAGTGAATGTGACTTCAAATCACAGTATGTATATACAATGCTCAAAATAATTGGTAACAATCTCGGTGGGCCGGTGTTGGTCGTGGTTTGTTACGCACTGTGCATGATAATTGTGCATAATTAATTTATTCGATATCATTGATATGATTATATAAAACCGTTTGCCGGCACACTATGTATGATTAATTTATCCACTAATTCAACAAATTAATGAACTGGTCAGCTAATCTACCACTCCCCCACTCCCTCCCTCCCTCCTATATTTGTGATTATATCCCCCCCCGCAATAGAACAGAATTGCTATTATGTAATTTTAAACTGATTTTGGACGTTTTACTCAAGTGATTTGGTCAGTTTGACTAGAGTACGGGAGAAATACTGATTCCAGTAGTTTAGTGGAGTACAACTATTTTCATCTCTTAATGATATAAGTTGTTCTATGTAAAGTTGTAGGAATAGTTTACATTTCACCATGCATATGTGTGTGTGTATTTCTCTTGAGCTATGTGTCACCGAGATTCTCCGTCCACCTGTCTGTCTGGATTCAACATAGAACTTGGCACCGAAGTGCAGCAGCTCCAGTTGCCACGTTCCAAATAGCACACAGAGGTAGACAAGAAAATGAGTCAAGAGAATCAATAGAGTTTTGACAAGTATAAGAGTGAAACAGAATGAGTAATGGTAGAAAGGAATATGACACTGAATATTACAGAGACTGAATACATCTGCGTAAGCCATTGACAGCGATTTTGAGCCATGTCACCTATTGTCTCCAGCCATTGATTCTTAGAGTCCCGAGGGCGGGCCCCAACCCGGAAGTCTGCATCTCCCTACCTGACTCATTTTAACTGTTCAGGACTTCATGGACTGATGAGGCCCTGTTTTTGTTTGGCCACCACATACTCTTTTGCAACCTGCACCTATATCAGCTAGTAATGCCCGCCGGGAGGGGGAGGCGATTGTTAGGCATGCGCAGCACCTGTATATCTCAGACTAGAAGTTAAAGACACATTAGAAATTTTATAAAACATATAAGCCATTAACAAGGTTTAGAATGCTATTATTGTAGTACAGTGTGTGGATGATTCTACATGCTCAACTTAAATATTATTCACTACATCCCTGACCTCTAGTCTCAGTGCTACTTATTTGCAGATGCCCGGCGCTCTTCACCGGGTTGACTGTCCATTGGATGACAGTCTAGGGGAGATGGCTAAACCCTGATTCCAAACCTCCAACGACTGGCGTATGAAGCTCACTGGAGCTCATCGGCAGACGTATGAACAAAGGGCTTGTTGGATGTCCTGGATGTCTGTCCCCATTCAAAAAGGCGTATGAACCGAACTTTGGTCACCGGCTGCCAATGGATAGTGGACTCCCTACTCCACTCCTACTGTCTTGTAGGTCACACTTGGTTGTGTAAAGGCTAGAGCTGCACTCTCAAACAAAAGGCCGAGCGATTCTGGGGACATCACTGGTACCAAATTCCCATGAAACTTCATGAACTCTCTTACAAACGATTCGAGATGTTTATGAAGCCGGCTCATCCTCCCGTAGGAGACAGCCGAAGTAAAGTAAAGTAAGTAAGCACTCATCATCATCATGTGTTAACAATAGACAGTGAATACATAAGGACAGAAAAGTAATTTTTCATGTATTCTGTTTACAAAAAAAAAACAATAATTGAGCAAAGAATATCCTTTTCGATAATTTCCTCTTCTGGCTCTACAATTATGTAAATGTTTAAATACATGGGATATTCTAGAATAGTCGTCAATAACAACATTAGTGATTTTTAAATACTATCGATTTATTAAGTAAGATCAGTGGAATCACAGTTCACTGGAGATGCATAAATTATAATAAGCATAAAAATGTAATAGCAAATAGAATATCAAATAAAATTAAACAAATTTCCACAACAAATTGAGGATCATTAGAACCTAGACTAGCCAAGGTAAGGACAGTGTCTGAACCAACTTCTTCTTTTGGATACATAAGTAAGGTTTCTTAATGTGGATCCCAACAGCCAGCCTCAGCAATATGTAGTAAACGAACTCTTAAGGTGAAGTTAAGATTAGTTGGTATGCGGTAGATGACTTTGAAAGCCGCGTCGTTAACATCAATCTTGTGTTCTGTATCCACAAGATGAGATAGAATAGCGCTATATGAATGGATTTTGTTTGTCCCTGACTTAACACGCCTAATTGTGCAGTCTATGTAACTAGCTCCACAGGAGCAGCTAAATTGGAACAGCAAGTTTTTTGTTTGCAATCGTAAATCAGGAGTGGAATGGTAGTTGAATATTTTTGCAGCACCAAAAAGATGTAAAAAAAGTTCCAACAAATCACTAACAGGTCTCTTGGATATGTCCTTTAATTTTATTATTAGTTAATCAAATACAAAAAAAATACATTACTGTGGTATCAAATTGAAAGGAGACTTTGTATTGCTTTTATCCCTGGATATGTTCATCAGTCTTGTGACTGACTGACTGACTGGTTTCAACATAGAAGTTTGCACAGATGTGCAGCAGTTCGATTTACCACACTCCATGTACCACACAAAGTAAGAGAAGAGAGTAAACGGTGACAATAAACAGAAATTTGAGGGAATAAGAGTAGTAATATGGGAGAACAATGGAATTTTATTGGATATTATAAATCACTCACAACGAGTGATGAATGCATCTGCGCTATTCATTGAACAAAAGGAGTTTGAGCCATATCACCAATTTTCTGCATCCTTCATTAGTTCTTACCATCACGAGGACCCCGACCAGCCAGTAAGCCAGTCTACATCTTCCTACTTGGCTGGTGGCTGGCTGGCTTAAGCTAACTGTTATCGATTTGATTGACTGATGAAACCATGTTTTGGTTTGACCACCACTAGTTAACTCTTTTCCAACCTGGTCGTATGTCAGTCAGCTAAAATTGCCCGTCGAGGAAGGCGATCGATGGCTAGACAAGTATGTGTAACACATGTCCTAACCATCTCAGTCAATGTAACTGCTTCATAACGTCGTCGATTATATTATTATCTCAAATTAGACAAAAGCAAATGGCGTGTCAAATGTACTCATCTTTTTGCCCAGAAAGATCTGAAGTGTTTGTGTGAGAGAGAGTTTTCCTGAGGAATATGTATATATACATTCAAAGTATAATTAGTTTACTTCTGAAAACATAAATAAGAGTAATTGTAGTAATACTCTTTTGGCCTTCTACGACGTAACATAAATGAACAAAGCAATAAATTATTCGGTAAATTTTATCCAGTGATCATTATTCTCACATTTTAACTAATTATTAAACTAGGTGTGTTCAATGCCTACACCACCTTATTTCATAATCCATGCTTCGTTGAACCCGACGTCAGCAACTATCCTGCTGTTGTTGTTGTTGTTTTATTTTTTGTTCCTCTTTTTTGTCAAGATTTAGGTGTTGAAATTTCTCTGACTGATCAATTCTGTCAACAACACTTTTTGATTGGAGTTCTGTTAAGCCAACTAAGCTGTCTGCTATCCGGTTGTATAAATACTGGCAGTTGGGCGCTACTTAAGTCAACATCACAGTGTTATCGACAACCGGTTATCATTTTGCGTAATTTATTAATTAAGCATTGTCTGGATCCACGTTATCATAGTTCTAAAGCAATTCAAGCAAGAATTTGTTCATTGTATCTACCATTGGTTCGTTTAATGTTGGATTATTACGATTCACTTGGACCTCCAGGTAATCAATTATTATTAAGTTGAATAATATGTTCACGTATTGTTTTTAGTTTATTTTTTTCAGTTTTATAATAACAATAATTACAACTATTATCAAATAAAGTATAATTATATTTCAATAGTTTACACACAATGATAAGTTTTTTTATTGGTAATATTTCGAGCAAAATTACTGCCCGTGTTCACACCACTGTTGGAATTATTTTGTTCACACATTTATGATTTGTACTCATATATATATAGTTCATTATTTTTGCTCATTCATGTTTTTCGTATTTAAATTATATTCCACGTGTAAAGAAATAAACGTCCTATTCAAAATGCTACTCGAAAATAACTACCCAAAAGAATTTATAAAAGATAATATAAAAAAGAGTAAAAAGAGGGTAAAAACGGAGAATAACAAGATGGAAGAATGCAAAAAAAAACAGTCACAATACCATATAAAAATGGCACATCAGAGGCAATTCAAACAAACTTCAAAAATATCGGCATTCGCACAACTTTTAAACCGACAAATCTAATGAAAAATAAAATAAATCAACTGAAAGATCCCATAAAAATGATGGATAAAAACAACTTGATTTACAAAATATCTTGTGCTGACTGTCCGACTAAAAATATGTGGGGCAAACATCCAGATCACTGAAAATGAGAGTGAATGAACATAAACGCCTAACCAAAGGTCAACCAACAGGAACACAAGCCTACAAGAATCTTGAAAAAAAATTCATCGATAGCTGCACATGCATGGGAAAAAAACCACAATATCGATTGGAACAATGTGTGTATTCTAAAAACTAACATGAACAAATGGAAGGAAAGACTTATAACAGAATCGATATTCATTAAAGTCACACCGGATACATGTAACAACTTGGAATATAATTTAAATACAAAAAACATGAATGAGCAAAAATAATATATATATATATATGAGTACAAATCATAAATGTGTAAACAAAACAATTCCAACAGTGATGTGAACACGGGCAGTAATTTTGCTCGAAATATTACCAATAAAAAACTTATCATTGTGTGTAAACTATTGAAATATAATTATACTTTATTTGATTTAATCCACAATGCTCAAACTTTTTACTGATATTAATACAACAATTATTATTATTTAATTGAATTTTAGGTTTTCCCGTCGATTGATTGGACCGAAGTGCTCGGTCTCAGGTTGACATGTCGGCTTCTTGACGAGTCCCAAATAGGACGAAATGCTCATCCTGGATTCCACTGCTAGTCACCATCCACCAATTAAATACTAATTAAATGCCCAGGCATCGTCGAAGCATCTGCTCAAGAAGCCGACATGTCAACCTGAGACCGAGCACTTCGGTCCAATCAATCGACGGGAAAATCTAAAATTCAATTAAATCAATATGACCCTTTGCACAAGAGGTGGCTCTCGTGGCCCAAGTGGTCTAGTGGATAACCCTTTGGCGTTTGAAACTATGGGCACTGGGTTCGAGCCTCGGTTGGAACATCATCACTCACAGAAATGCAGGTACATCCAGTGACGAGTCCCAAATAGGACGAAATGCTCATCCTGGATTCCACTGCTAGTCACCATCCACCAATTAAATTATTATTATTACTGTTCCCTTGGGTTTCGAGTGGAACACAGGGCTTCAACAGCACATCTCCCCACTCTATTCTATTTTCCGCAGTCCTCTTCATCTGGCCCCACTATTGCCCACAGACTTTCATCTCCTCTTCTCACGATCTCTTCAATGACAAGCGCGGATTCATACATGCCCAGCTCGTTGTTTCCCACTCGCGATGGTCTGGCATTCGATGTCATTCAATGTTCTCCTCGGCGAATGCCTGATCCATCCCCATTTTCTTTGGAATGTTTGTTGGGCAATAGGTTCTTGGTTAGTTCGTTCTCGGATTTCCATGTTGATCTTCAATATGGAGCCAAAGAAGTTAGCAGTTGTTTACAAAAGTCTGCCGTAGTTTATTAGAAATTCTTTTCGTGACACTCTGGCCAGTTCTCTAACTCATATATAAGTTATACGATTTGACAGTGTGGAAAATTCCCATATTATGAATTAAAAGTCAATCTGAACGAAGAATATTCTTTTCAATAATTTCTCCTCTCCAGGTTCTTACAATTATAAAATATCATAATATTTGTTGTCGTTACAATAAAGGCCAGTTATGTGGCAGATACATTTTTAACGTAGAATAACAGATTAGTGTTATGGGGGTGTCAAAATAAATAGTCGTATTTGTGTGACAAACGTGCTAGGCTGAATTCGGTTACAAAATATTTGAAAAATGGGAGACAGTGGTGGTGATTAGTCATAATAGATTTGTAGAGTGTGGGGTAGGAAAATTGCAGTCTTACTATCTCCTGTTTAACGTAGACCACTTTGTGCTAGCCACTCACCTGACACCTTTTATAACCTTGAACTGACTTGTCAATTTTCCTACCCCACACTCTACAAATCTATTATGACTAATCACCAATGTCTTCCGTTTTACAATATTTTGTAACCGAATTCAGCCTAGCACGTTTGTCACACAAATACGACTATTTATTTTGACACCCCCATAACACTAATCTGTTATTCTACGTTAAAAATGTATCTGCCACATAACTGGCCTTTATTGTAACGACAACAAATATTATGATATTTTATAATTGTAAGAACCTGGAGAGGAGAAATTATTGAAAAGAATATTCTTCGTTCAGATTGACTTTTAATTCATATATAAGTGACTGACTGAATTTACATTGGCGTTGGAAATCCGAATCTTCTGCTTTGTGCCGCGGAGTGAATAAGATTTCCAAACTGATTTAGTAGTGATGAAAGTGTGACTCTCTTTTTCGATTCCGGCTTTGACATCTTCCTAGATAGGTGAAGGAAGTAATCTCCGTTAAATCTCTCCCATTGACGGTGATTGGTTCTGGTTGTTGTTGCGGTTCGTTGGTTATCTTCATCACTTCCGTCTTCTCTATGTTCACTTGGATTCCTGTCTTCGCTGCCTTCCTCTTCGACCAGTTTGTTGGGTTTCACTTGCAAGTCTTCGAGTTTGTGTGACATTTCAAATATGTCATCTACGAAATCCAGTTCTTCTACAGTCTTCCTATCGGTCCAACGTATTCCCGTTTTCTCACTCCCTGTGCACAGTCTGACGCATAATCCAGTGTCCACCACAATTAGGAATATCATCGGTAATGGCCGGGAGCCCTGTCTTACTCCATTCTGTCTTCACTTCAAAGTCTTCACTCAGTTTTCTATTGCTGATCAGACCACTTGACATGCGTCATTGTCATATAGTCAGCTGTTGAATGAAGTCGCTGAAGATTTGGGCTCGCCATATTGTTGAAATAGTTTCCGAATTACTTCTTGATCAACGCTGTCGAAGGCTTTATTAAAGTCGATTAAGTTGAGGTAGATATTTGGCTGCCATTCTATGCCTTATTCATTGACGATGCGTAGATTTGCAATTTGATCCGCACATGATTTACCATTCTTTGTCTTGACTCTTCTTTCTTCCTAGAACGGTTGTAAACGTCTCTTTGAACATCACCTTCAGAGAGTTGCGATGTTCTTCCACGCAGGTTTTATCAGTGATGTCCCTGGATGTCTCCGACTTTTCTCTGATATATGCAGTAAAAATATCCCTTATAGTTTTGTCCTTTAGTTTCTGAGTGTTGAACTTGAGTTGTAGTCTGTTCCCAGTGATTTTGAAGGCTTTCATCTTGATCTTGTAGGTTCCTTGAACTAGATGATGGTCTCAGCCCACACCAGCACCCATTCTCGACTTTGTGTTTAGCAGACTGTGTTTTATCATATCAACATTTGCGTTTTTCCTGTAATTATATATAAAGATTTGGGATAAGGTGATTCACTTGGAAGCGTGAGAAGTTTGAACAGTGCTGAAATGTGTCATTTCTGTTCATTCCCTTTTCGTCTTTTATTTTTGAAAATCTATTAAGAACTAGTAAAATAAATCAGAGGAAAAATAATAGTTACTCTCACCTAGATGTTGTCATTTTACAGACATAGACACAGTATGGGTATTTTTACCCATTTGAGAAATCACCAATCAGCAGCTCACATGAAACCAGACCTGTCAGTGAGCGTCTTTATGGTTTACTGTACTGTTGGATTCCAATGGTCTATATTTGCCAACTTCTGTATGACTCCTTTATGTAGACTAATGATTATTCAGTATCCTGTAAGAACAAATGTTCCCATATAGTTGGACTCTCCTTCTCAAAGTAACGCACTAATAAACACAGAATCATCACTGGATTGATTCGGTTCTTGGAAAATTGACTGATTTTAAAATCGTTATCATTATGAAACAACTGAATGTTTCTGATATCAAACAGGTTTGGAAATGAGGAAAATCACTTATTGATTAGAACTTTCCCATTCTAAAGACCAGCAAATCTTCATTGTCTATGCGCATAAAATAAATTGAATCTCACAAATTTCTTGACTGTGTGAAATACACACGTTTATTTACATCAATAGAAAGATTAAGTAAAGTATTATGAAGAAGATTATAAAGATAGTTAATTGAAGTTTTTTAAAGAAGTGTTGAAACGTATCAGGCGAGAAATATGTATGTGTGATCTCTGGAAATACTTATTGATTTAACTGAATTTAATTTGAATTGAAGGCAATGACTTACCGAATCTCCGCATTAGAAATGCACACTGCTTGTGTAGAATTTAAAACTTATATAAATTGAAGGCTTTTGAATGATTTCATGCTGAGCTCTTTTTGTGAATACCATTAATACTTATGGCGTCGTCGGTGGCTTAATAGTAGAATGCTTGCCAACCACGCCTCATATGGTCCAGGAATCGATCTCCGGCCAAAGATGTACTGCTTACCCTCGATGAGCCGATAGTAAGCCGGTACAGAGGGAAGGTTGAGCATGAGGCTAGCAACCCCACCCTGCATAAAAATAAACACCACTGCTTCCGAAACTTCAAAACTCTCCAGCTTGAATGCTTATGTTTCACTGGGGGAACGTAAAGGAATTAAATAACTAATAACTAATTATTATTTAGAATATCGAAGAATACAGGAGAGGTTATTGCCTAAAAACGCCTTGGTACTGATATCCACTCTAAGCTGCTTTTCAACACAAGTGAATAGTGCTTCTTATCAATGAAATTCCTAAATTAACAGGCTGTTATGTACACATAGAGTTAGGCAATCAAAGAGTACGTCAATCCTGCTGCATCGTGCTTAGTAACAAACTGTTTCTTCCTTAAAATAACTTTTATTTTAATGTTAATCCTACCCTTTTTTTTTCCTTGCACGTATATTTATGTCTTTGTAAAGGTGGTGCTCTTCAAACAGCAGTTATTGCAGCTGCTGCACGTCGAGATTATGAAGAGTCTTTATTAATTACTGATGGAAATAGTAATTCGGGTACATTCTCTCGTCGTCATCAACGTTCTCTTGATAAGTCGAATAAAACTGGTAAATCTAATGTATTCCCCAATAGTAGTAGTACTACTAATACAATGAGTAATAGTACTATATCTCATAGACCACAAAGTATGATTAGTGATTATTCACTAGAAGCATTGAACAACTGTGAAGGGAATCTACAAATAACAAATTCTGACAGTGGATCATTTACTTCATCATTATCAACAAATAGTGGAAGTACTGTATCGTTTATCCAATCAATATCAAATTCAGGTTTCAGTCATGGAAAGTCATCTCCATCCAACACTAGTGATGGTCAGCCAACTGCTTCAGCCAATTCTGCTGCTTATCTAACTAAAGATGGCAAAGTTCAGCAGCATATTTTAGATCAAATAGCCGGTGTTAATCGAGGTAAGAATTATTTTATATAAGACATTATTATCAGTTGGCTCCGTCTGTGACGTTTGACAACACAAGAGGAAGTGCTTTGTCTGAGACGTGTAATTTGTTAACGCAACATATTTCATCGAATATTATGATTACATACGCAATTTTCATACACGTTTATTACCAAAGTTAGGTTTCAAAATCACTGACTTACACTAACTTACAATATGAGGCATGTAAATATAGTTTTTACGGTGTTTTTCACGCCTTAGAATCCAATTACCTTGAATTCAAATGAACTGTCGTCAAGATTTGACAGAATAGTTCTAAAATATTTGGGCGCCGAGTGAGAAGTAGACATTTGTAAAAAATTATATTTGTAAAATCTCAGCGAGATTGAAATGAGTAATTCCAACGTTTCGTTCGGAAATCTGATCCGAACTTCTTCAGGGAAATTAATCGAAATTAACATAACAGAGGTTTATATATAAAAAGGAACGTAACTTGTTTTTGAAAATTTGTCCAATCACGAGTCATTCAACAAGTATCAACAAGTATAATAAACAAAATTGTATGAGCTGTGATCAAAATTTGACCTTGGACATACAAATATTGGTCTACCTTTGTTAAACACTTTAAACAGAGTGTGTATGTGTGTGTGGGTAAACAGTTGTAAAACATTTCTTAACGTCTCCATAAGAAGATATGGACAGTTGAGAATTTTGACCAAGTAATAATAATTAGTGATACATATCCATTTTTTATTTATTAATAAGAATTTCCTATGCTTCAGCTAACATCACGCCTTCATGTCTGTCCAAACAGTTAGTATCTAGAATTTTATGATTAGACGTATATTCAAAATTATGGTGTTTAGGATTGGAGTTTAGTTGAAGCACCCTGTCGAACTTATTGCTTTGTCTTCTTTTTAAAGATTAAGCTGCTTTATTCGACCTACTGCAGTTGTCAGGTGACTTGACAGCTATGGATTTAGGACATGCAATGTGCTGCAGACAACGGAGAGTGAAAACACAATGATTGTGCCAATTACATAGTTTGTTTGTTAATTTAAAAAAACAAGAGATGTTCCTTCTATATATATCTATATAAACCTCTGTTATGTTAATTCCGATCAATTTCCTTGATGAAGTTCGGACCAGATTGCCGAACGAAATGTTGGAATTACTCATTTCAATCTCGCTGAGATTGTACAAATATACTATTTTTTACAATTGTTTACCTTGAATTCGGTGATTAATTTTCACCCCTTTTTCAAAACTTAGATATCTTGTTACTAACATCTATTAGTTAATTGTTTTGATAACCTTTAACGTCTTAATTCCACTCCACCCCACCCACCCACTCCCACATCCTATACCTAGAACTGATTAACTTAAAATAACCAGTCGATTCGTAAAATTTGTGATGTAAAAAACTAAGGTTTAGGGTGTAGAGCGTCGTTGGCATGGAGGTTAGGACGCTCGCCGACCATGCAAATGGTCTGGGGTTCGAACCCTGGCCACAGACGCACTCCTTTACCTCGCTAAGCCAGAAATAATGCTGGTGAAGAGGAAACGTTGGGCATGAGGCTAGCAACCCCATCCTGTAAAATAAACACTGCTACAGAAACTTCAAGCCACTAGCTTGAAGCCCTATGTTCCACTGGGAAACGTGAAGGATAACAAAAGTGTGTAGAGCGGATGACGAGGAACTAATTGACAAGATATGCATATTTCTTCGCTCAATCTATTTTTGGTTTTTGTCTTTTTTTGCTAATTCTAAATGAAACAAACTATTTCAGTCTTTTTTTCTTGTAAGATTTTATGTTTATTTTTCTATTTGACAATTAAGGTGGTTCTCTTCAGCAACGTATTCACAAGAGTAATCGTCTACAGGGCCAGAACAATTCTTCAATATTACCACCATCGGCAACATTATCAACAGGAATAGGAATGGAAGAAATGCCTCCACATAATGATAATAACAATAACAATAATCAATGTTCACGTTCACATTCTATCCAGTCTGTAGATGGTTCACAGAATAGTTTTCTTCTCTCCAGTCATGCAAGTAGTAGTACGCTTACACTGACTGGTGTAGGTATGGAGAATAATAATAATAATAACAATAATATTATGTTGAATGGACGCATGAATACTCTAGACGATGAATACCTTCATAATGATATAATGCAGTATAAAAATGGTGAAAATTACAAAAATCATCATCAAGAATTATCACCGACATCATCAGCTTTAGACATGAATTTACAAAGTAAGTAGTTGTACATTGTTGTGTTTCTCATCGATAAATATTTGAATCTTCAAGTATTGGTTTTGTAGGGATTTTGTTTGATTGCATGGAGGATTTCATCATGAGCTGACATCAGTTAGAGAACCACTAAAAAACCTGGGAGTACTGGACAGCTGTATCGTCCTAGTCTCGGACCCTTCATCAGTTCACACCTACCGCCATGGTTAGAACCTAGGACCTTCCAGTTACAAGGCGAGCTCGTAGAACATTAGGCAACTGGGACTCACCCTATCCAATGGCCGGCCAATGAATTCTAACTTCTGCCAATTCATGAAATAGCACAACCACTACACAATTTCTTCTTCAATGAGTTACTGTCTCATCTTCAACCTGCTGTATCCTACTGGTTAAGAAAGTAGAGAAATTTTTATCAAAAATTAAATAGTCAAGTGTTGATTTTGCAGGGATTTGATTTCGTTGGTTACAGGATTTCAGCATGAGCTGACGTCGGTTAGAGAACCATTGGAAAACCAGCATCGGAGTACTTGGCAGTCAGCTGTCTCGTCAGACTTGTTAAGTAGGACTCTAAAGCAGTACTCATCCACCGCCAGTGAGGTTCGAACCCAGGACCTCCCGGCTACTAGGTGAGTTCGTAGACCATCCAGCTGCCATTTGGACCTTATCCAATGACCAGCCAGTCCATGAATCCTAACTTCTGCCAATAATTCACGATATAGTGCGACTAGCACTAGCCAATGTCATCGGTGACAAGTATTTGTCCTCACAGCTGACCTGCTGTATCCCACTAGTCATGACTTCTCACTAGAGCCAGCCCAGTTAACTACCTACCCGAGTAGGACCAATCTCTAGTAGGCATCAAGTATTGATTTGCAGGGATTTGATTTGATTGGTTACAGGATTTCATCATGAGCTGACATCGGTTAGGGAACTATCGGAAAACTTGGGAATAGCTGTACAGGGCACTTCAAGGGAAGGTACCCACTATTCTCTTTAAACCAATTGACAATAAATAAATCAGAGATGTGAATTAGAAGCGGAATTCTGATACGAATAAACCTTCTCTTTTATGGTAAGTAAATACGCTATCACACAGTTTTCTCAGTCTGTAATTCTAAAAAAGGCATAAAGACTAAATTCCTATTCAAGTTGCAACTAGCAGTTATCAAGGCATCATCGAAAACAAAGACTAGATGAAATGTTTTTCAAGTATTGGTTTGTAGAGATTTGGTTGATCGGGTACAGGATTTCATCATGAGCTGACATTGGTTAGAGAACCATTGGAAAACCTGGGAGTACTGGACAGCTGTTTCGTCCTAGTTTGCGACCCTTCATCAGTACGCACCCACCGGGGTTCGAACCCAGGACCTTCTGGTTACAAGGTGAGATCGTATACCATTGAGCCACTGAGACCCGATCCAGTGGACAGTCCATGAATTCTAACTTCTGCCAATTCACGACATAACGCGATCGATAGCCAATGTCTTTGGCGAGTATTCTAATAAGATCAGTTTAGATAAACATTTGATTATCACTTCACTTTGCCAAATTTGTAGATTCAGATCAAGATTGGGCCAAACAAGTTCTCACATTGGCTGGTGTCTATCCGGATCGTGTGAATGATGCAAAATCTACAAGTTCTGATAGTCAAGATTCTGTGTCTACACCTGTCGCAGGAATGCCTTTGGGAATAAATATCTCGGATATTGAGTGAGCCTTTATTATTATTATTAATGACTTAGGCCGATTGTTTTAAAAGATGATATCATTTTAGGTAGATTTTGCATTTTTATTTAGAATGAATAACCTTGAACCTTAGGCTAGTTGATTACACTATGTCACAGTATGAATGATTTAGGCTTTTAAGACAATATTCTCAACGCATTTAAGCAATCTAGTATAGCATACTTAATCTTGTTAGCCGCCAATATTACACCTTGAATTTAATCTCGATAACCCAGATGCTCTCGAAAATCCTACCTACCTGGGAAACATCGTTTCAACTACACGCGAACGGAACTGACGAGGATATCAAAGCAAGAATCGGAAAAGCAAGACGAGTTTTCACTACTCTCAAGTCTGTGTGGAGGTCAACAGCACTCAGTATCAAAAATAAGATCCGGATTTTCAACTCCAATGTGAAGTCAGTCAGTGCTACTCACTATACGGATCAGAGACTTGCACTGCGCGTCATAAAGAGCATCTCAAACAAACTACAGACCTTCATTAACAGTTGTCTTCGCTCAATACTCAAGATCAGATGACCAGAAAAGATCAGCAACAGAGATCTGTGGCAATGAGCGAACCAACACAGCAGGAACCGATTGTGAAACAAATAGGCAGGAAGAAATGGAGATGGATTGGCTGGCCATACTCTGAGGAAACAAACCATCAAGTGACATCACTAAACAAGCCATTGCTCGAGTGGAACCCGAAAGGGAAGCGGCGAGTTGGTTGTCAGTGCAAGGGTGACTTGGAGGAGGTCATGTGAAGAGGAGATGAAAGCGTGTGGGCAGACTTGGAGCGAGGTGAAGACTCTAGCAGAGAACTGAACGCAATGGAGACGCACGGCTGAAGCCCTATGTTCCTCTAGGAATTAAAGGAAATAGTAATAATAGTAATCTCGAAAATTCAAATATCGTCAATTTTTAATCACTCCACAACTAATCACTTTCATTTCCATCCACTTGAAAATGAGTCACATCTATTGTGTTGAGACCTGATACTGATACTTCCATATTAGATAAGTTTATTTTAAGTATCACGCAGTGATGCAGTATTAACAACCGAATGACAAAGTTGCGAGTATAAATACTTGCCACTCATAATCACATCAACTTTAATCACACGGTTTCACAATTTGTCTTATATATTTTTCCTGTCTATCTCTCTCTCTCCCTCTCTCCATCTTCCCCTTATCGTTTGTTGCCACTTTCTATATCTCCGGTGTGGGCGTTAAGTTCTTCCAATTGCACGTGTTTGTGGTTTTGAGTCGATGAACAAAGTATCAGTGATTAACCACTGTGTCTATCTCCACATAACTGTAATACTTTTTAATACTCTCACCCTTTCCCACCCTATGGCAATGTTTGACTGGGAAGGGAGTACCAAGAAAGTACATTGCACTAATCAAGGCACTCTACTCAAACTCACGTAGCTGTGTAAGGGCTTATGGGGAATTGTCATCTGAATTGATAACAACCAGTGGTGTCCGTCAGGGATATCCACTTTCCCCATTTCTGTTTAACTTCATCATAGATATGCTAATGGAAGTATCCTTAACTGGACTAAACGACTTAGGAATCGACTTGTTACCAGGGAATAGTCTTATAGACTTAGAATACGCAGACGACATAGTCCTGTTAGGGGAGGACGCTGACAAAATGCATAGTCTTCTGAACACCTTGAGCAGCAATCTTCGTATGTTCGGCATGTGATTCGCCCTTGTAAAATGTAAGATGCTGCTACAGGACTGGACTACGTCAACTCCTAGCTTAGTGATAGGAAGTGAAGTGAAGTGATAGAACATGTTGACCACTTCACCTATTTGGGAAGTTGTATCAGCACCAACGGACTGATTGGTGACGAAATCTCAGCACGGATCCAGAAAGCTCGGGCTACTTTCGCTAACTTACACCGTCTCTGGCGTAGGCGTGACATCCGGCTATCAACCAAAGGACGTGTGTACTACTCAGAAGTTCGCTCCGTCCTTCTCTATGGCTCTGAAACATGACCAATACGAGTTGAAAACATGAAAAGGTTGACTGTTTTTGATCATAGATGTCTACGATCTCTTTCTCACGTTAGGTGGGATAATAAGGTAAGTAATGTTGACGTTAGGCGTAGAGTGTTGGGCAATGAGGGGAAATCAATCGAAGAGGCTATAAAGTTACATAGATTGAGATGGCTAGGTGACGTGCTGCGCATGCCTAACCATCGCCTCCCCCGACGGGCATTACTAGCTGATATAGGTGCAGGTTGGAAAAGAGTAAGTGGTGGCCAAACAAAAACATGGCCTCATCAATCCATGAAATCCTTGACAGTTAAACTGAGTCAGTCAGGTAGGGAGATGCAGACTTCCGGGTTGGGGCCAGCCCTCGGGACTCTAAGAATCAATGGCTGGAGACAATAGGTGACATGGCTCAAAATCGTTGTCAATGGCTTATGCAGATGTATTCAGTCTCTGTAATCTTTCATATTCCTTTCTACCATTACTCATTCTGTTTCACTCTTATACTTGTCAAAACTCTATTGATTCTCTTCACTCATTTTCCTGTCTACCTTTGTGTGCTATTTGGAACGTGGCAACTGGAGCTGCTGCACTTCGGTGCCAAGTTCTATGTTGAATCCAGCAGCAGCAGCAGCTGTGCCACCGACGCACAGACGTTAACTAGCTAATAAGAATTGGTTATGCATACAATCATCAGTTTGATTGAATTGTATCAGGGCGAAATAGTTCGTAATGTTTGACTGATAAGTGTGAATCTGACAGAGTAAACTATTATTGATCATTAGAACAAGCGAACGATATTGTTGTTTTCAATTAGATCTTCTTGTGGCTCTACTCTAATTCGCATAGGTTTTTATATAAAAAGATCTAACCAATAACAATGAGTTTGTGAGTTAAATAATAATAATAATAATGTGTTAACTGTTTTGAACGTCAGTATTAACGATGATTATAACGATCACGAAAAATACCCATTTATTCATAAGTAAATGATAACAAAAAATAATAATGTTTTTGTCAATAATTTAATAATTCCCATTTTAGTTACGACTATTAATATTATTATTATCATTATTATTAGTAGTATTCTCACTCTGAATCTTTTTCCACTTGACCCACTTGTCATTTTAAACCCAAAATAATTCATTTTTATATTTTTATTTTTATAATATTGAATTCTATCTTATCAAATTTCACACCATGTTATGTAACATTTTATATTCGTCTACTATTCCTATAATTATGTACCCCTTTCCAAAATCTATACACCTTATGTATTTAGAAGATCAAAACAAATGATTCAGCGAAAAGACTCTTTTCAAGCTGTGCAATCGTATATATATGGTTTTTAGGAAGTTATATCCGGTGAGAAACATAGGTGTGAATGCATAAAATAATAATAATATGAAATGCAATTAAAACTAAAATGTTCGTGATTATAATCGTAGTTAAATGTCAAGTGGCAAAGCAATTAATGTCACATATATAGAATAATTCATAGGATGGATAGAACTTGAAAAAGGGTGTGCAATTATAAGATTAGTAGACAAATCGAATAAAATAAAAAGGTTGCGTAATATTGTATGAAATTTAACAGCATAGAATTTAATGTTGCATAAAGGAATTGATTTAGAATGACAAGTGGAACAAGTGAAATAATACCGAGAACAATAAAAAGTGAGAGTAGTAATAGTAACAATTGACGTAATAAGGAAGAGTATACAAATTGAATAGACAAAAATGAAAAATTGGTAGAGCTAAAATATGATTGGGGATTACCATACTTTAGCATAGACGAGGGATTAAGACCATGAAAGTTGGAGGGGTTGAACGAACTTTTTTTGTACACAGAGATCTGGCTTTTCTGATGCAGTTGAGTCGGGTACGTAAGGATTTGGGTAAATTACTCTTTGCCTTGTAGATGACTTTGAAGGCGGAGGCTATATAGATAGGGTGATCATTATCGACAAGATGATTGCGCTTCTTATTGCTCAACTTCCACCTTTTCGTAACCATGCAGGATAGTGTTCTTGCCCCCTCTTGAACAAAACTCGAATCGAACGACCGATATACCTAGTTCCACACGAGCAGGTGAATTGATAAACACACATAGAGTTGGTCAACAGCGGGATCTTGTCCTTCAGGTTATTGAACAATAATGGTCGACTAGAAAAGGCTATTCTCAGGGATGCAGCAGGGAATGTTCTTTTCAGGGACTGTGATATCCTTCGTTTCATGATATCGGAAGTTAAGTCCCCTTTGAATTCTAAGCTCATGTAAAGTATTTTCTTGGGTAAGGTTGATAAGTCACGTTTTTTAGGATTTGAATGTATATTCTTATCTATAAAACGTGGTGGAAATCCATTTTCTATTAGGATTTTCCTCAAGATGTATAAGTCATCTTCCACAGTATCAGGGCTACATATGCGCCGAATACGAGTGGCAAGCGACCGGCCCAGGTTTCGTTTTCAACCAATGGGTACCCAGCTTATGCATTATTCTATATATGATATTAATTATTGTGCCACTTGACATTAAACTATGATTATCATCACAAATATTTTAATTGCATTTCATACCACTATTATTATTTCATGTATTCACACCTTTGACCTAATTCCCTCACTGGATATAATTTCTTAAAAACCATGTATATATGATTGTACAGCTTGATAATAAATTCGTTGAAAAGAGTCTCTTCGCTGAATATTGTGTTCATAATAAGGTTTGTTTAGCTGACGATAGGAATAACGAAGGTTGTGAGTGATGTATGTGTATATACAGACAATTCAATAAATAAATGATTAGGTGAAATCTTAAAAGTTACGTAATACCAGAAGTAGGTGAAGTGGGCAGATATTCAGAGTTTTAATAAATATCGCAAAAGTACGAATGAAGTGGAAAACAAGAAAGGGTGGGAGGGTTTATTTGAATTAGAATTCACTTAGACCAGGAGAGAGGCAAAGGAGGACAAACTTCTTTTTGATATTCAGAGACTAGAATTGTTCTCTCGAATTAATTCCCATAGCTTCTTCGGCTACGTGTTTCAACAGGCGAGTTTGAATTCTGTTGGAAAGGTTCGAGGGAATGCGATGGATAACTTTGAAGGCACTTCTTCTATCCACTTGGTGACCGCTATCATCAATCAAATGAGACAAAATCGAACTTCTTATAGATTTTATTATTACTGAGTATGACAAGCACTTTTGTTTGTCGATTCCATGTAGCCATGGTAACAATTAAAATCTTTATCATTATTATTATTATCTTCTCTAGACATTCTGGAGAACATGATGAAAACTTAATCTCTGATACTCCTGCAAGCCATCATCATCATGCTCAAGATAGTCATCGTCTTCTCTCTCATCCTTATACTCATCGATTCAACTTCCAGAGAATATTTATACCTGACCTTCTATTGACTAAAGAGCCAATTATTCGACCGCATATTCATCGTCGTCCATGTGATCAAAATATTTCAGGTCCACGTCGTTTAACAGACAATTGTCAAAGAGATTTATACATATGCCTTCTACACATCCTGTCGACAATCACAGTGACACATTTGAAGGCATTACTGCAGAGTTTCACTGTACAAGAAAGGCTAAGATTTTTAAATATACTGAAGTAAGTTCAGTAGATGTTTTGTTTCCTCCTTCTTGGGAATTGAATCGATACAAGTTGTCAAATGAAATCGATATTCTTTATAATAAATCATTCATTCATTCACAAGTCTAGTGGTTGTAAAGGTTAAATTTTGAATAATCATGGTTATTCGTGTTCTATGATTATTTTCTTTAAAAATATTTGGTTACATTTAATTCACACTTTGGACTATTCCGTTGATCGATTGAACCGAAATGCTTAGCCTAAGGTTGACATGTTGGCTGTTTGTGCGCAGATGTTTCTACTATGTCTGAGGATTTAATCTGAAGTAATTTGGTGGATAGTGGTGACTGACGAGCAGTGGAATCCACCAGGATGCGCATTTCGTCCCGTTCGGGACCCGTTGGCTCGATGTACCTGCATTCTTCAGTAAGTGAATGAGTGAGTGATGATGTTCCCATTGAGGCTTGAACTCAGTACCAATAGTTTCAAACACCGAAGCGTTATCCACTAGACCACTTGGACACCACGAAAGCTAACCACTTGTTGTGCAACGGTTATTAATAATTGTTTAGTTCAACTTAGCTTTCCTGTTGATTGATTGAACCGAAGTGCTCTGTCTCAGTTTTACATATCATCTTATGCAGCTGGTTCGACGATGTCTGAGGCCGAGCACTTTGGTTCAACCAATCAACGGGAAAGCCGAATCGAATTAAAAAATTACTAATACGCATTGCACAAGAGCTGGCTGCCGTGGCACAAGTGGTCTAGTGGATAACGCTTCGGTGTTTGAAACTATGGGTGCTGGGTTCGAGCCTCAATGCGAACACCATCACTCACTCATCACTCACTCACTCACTCACTCACTGAAGAGTGCAGGTACATCGAGCCAACGAGTCCCAAACGGGACGAAATTCGCATCCTGGTGGATTCCACTGCTCGTCAGTCACCACTATCCACCAATTTACTTGTCGTTACATGTTGGGATGTGGAATTCCTCAATATTCAGTAGACTGTAGACTGTTTCAACGCGTTTTGACGTTTTCCATCGTATCTTATGTGTATATTATGGTTAAATAAAGACAGTTAGTATGAGACACTTACTCCGAAAATTATCAAATAGTCAGTGTACAGTGAGTATCATGTGATAATCATCGGATAGAGAATAGTTGATAAGTAAAATGAAATTCTAATCAATATTTGTTTCATCATTCTTTATTTCTGATACTTCAGCAACCAGTGACCATTTTTATTATTCGATTACTTGGTGTAGATTTGAAGGGCTTTTAAATTTTGAAGTTTTATGAAATTATATTATCACAAGAACATTATCTACCGGTTTGAGGATGTGCGCAAATGTTTTTATAACACACCACCACACTCGTTCCCCCGTCAAAAAACATTAAACTGCAGTCGATCCGATCTTCTTGGTGCTGGCGGCTTTGTTAGGTTGTCTTGCTGTATCGAATTCCGGAGCTCGCTGACGTTCACCCACTTCTCTTTATTTGCATTTCTGATTGTATATACGTGACCCGGTCTCACGGTGACTATGTATAGTCCTTCACACTTTGGGAGCAGTTTGCATGATCCTGGCTCGTATTCGCCGGTGTTTCGCCTCACACTATCATATGCTACCATCGTCCAACCTCCCAGCAGCGTTCCAAGTAACAGCCTCATCGCTGATGGATCTTGAACGTCACTCAACTGCATAACAGCCTCGAAGTCCTGCCCAAAGATCGTTTTGTCTCCATCAAAAACTGCAGGACATAGGCTTTCCATTTGTCGGCAGGCAGCGATACCAAATGTAACAATAGAAGGCAGGACACGGAAGCCAAAGTATTGTCTCTAATATCAAATAGAATGTTCAAATAGATATATATCATATTCTGTTGCTAACACAGTATTGAACTGTGGGAATATGTGAGAATAATATTCCGTTGGCACACACTGTCTGGGTCACACCACCACACCACACTACTACTTATTATTCCTTAGGTTCTTAGTTGAACATAGGGCTTCAGCCTATTCTATGCAATCCTCTTTAGCTGACTCCGCGGCCAGCCATATGCGCTGTCATCTCCTCCAATGTATTAGAGTTATTTGTGTAATAACGAAATGTACTCGAAGTAAAACTACTATGAACTGCATATTTGGTAGCCATTACATTATGTTTATAGCTGATAGGCTTTTCCTTGCATGAGATCTTCGATAATACCTGCATGGTTAGCTTGGTTGTGTGTTGAGTGTATGTATATTTTATAACCACTGACAAATAAGAAAAAAACACGTAATGTCGCAGCAACTTTTATACAAACAGACTGTGTGTTAAGAGAGTCTCATAAGTGCAGTCTCTCAAATCAATAAGACGGAAGTATTGTGTATTCTCGTGTTAACCTGATGTAATTAACTGTTGATCGCTCACCAGTCACCAACATGAGAACTACTAAAACGTATTTATTATTATTGTATTCCATCACGTTCCGAGGGCTTCAACCTAGAGCTTTGAAGTTTCGGTAGCATTGGTTTTATTTTTACGCAGGCTGGGGTTGCTGGCGTCACGCCAAACCTTTCTTCTTTACCGGGCTTAATACCTGCTTAATGAGGTTAAGGAGTGCTTCTGTGGCCGGGCGTCGAACCTAGAACCCCGTGAGGCGTGGTTAACGAGCGTTCCACCGTTGGACCACCGAAGCCCAAGTGGTCTAGTGGATAATTAGAATGTAGAGATGTGAAAAATTATTTTTTTTCTACTAGAGAGTTTTTAATGAGACAAAAGGGTTGATGGTTTAAAATTATTTAGCTAAGTGATTCAAATATATTAGAATAAATGTGTCCAAACTGTAACCTATTTATAATTCTCTTCGTTTGACTCACTTAGTCTTATTACCGTCAACCAGACAAGGCCAGTTATAAATGTATGTGATATATATAATATATATATATATATCCTTGTCCAGAATCCAGAACACTTATGAGTCTCAATCGAGTGAGAAAATCGACAACTAATTTGCCAAAATCAGCGCAAAACGGCACTTCCAATTTTAGTTGAAAATTTAGATTACCGGTATAGGCATACTAGATGCTCTTAACATATTGTTAATTTTCAAGTAATGGTTTTGTAGGGATTTTGTTTGATTGGTTGGAGGATTTCATCATGAGCTGACATCAGTTAGAGAACCATCGGAAAACCTGCAGGTAACATTGGACAGCAGTTACGTCCTAGTTTGAGACTGTTCAGCAGTACGCACCCACCTCCAGGGTCCGAATCCAGGACCATCTGGTTACTAGGCAAGCTTGTAGACCATTCAGCAGCCACTGGGGCCCTATCCAATGGTGAATCCATGAATTCTAACTTCTGCAAAATTCGCGATCACTTTTGCAGTGTCTTCTTCGATGAGTAACTGTCCTCACCTTCAACCTTGCTGTACCCTACTGGTCATGGTTTCCCACTAGAACTCCAGGTAACTGGATCGGCTCAGATCTTAGTGGCTGTTGAATGGTCTATGAACTCGCCTTGTAACCAGGAGGTCGTGGGTTCGAACTCCCTGTGGTGGATGCGTACCACTGAGGAGTCCCAAACTAGGATGAAACATCTGGATGTCCAGTACTCCGGTGCTGGTTTTCCAATGGTTCTCTAACTCATGTCAGCTCATGATGAAATCCTCCAACCAATTTAGTTAATTGTGTTAATATATATAACCGTCCAGAGGAGTAGTGTTCGTTCTAGAACGATTGGTTAAAAGTACATGTGTTAGCCGATGAGCTGTAGTCTTCTCTTATTTTGCTTGCTATTGCAGAGTTCTATAAATGCATAAAAATTGGTTTTCCTTAATACTATTTCCCTTTAAATTGACTGTTTTTGCATATTTAATTTAAATATATTACTCTAACTCTATTATATATTTTTACGAATTTCCTGTTTATAGGTTTGCTATTCAACACCTACGTTATCGTGGAAAGCATTGTATACAACAATACGAGTAAGATTATGATTATTATTATTTTTCTTTTAAAATTTGTTCACTTATGAGACATATAATAATAATTTTTTCTTTCTTTTTTCCCTTCACGTTCCCCAGTGGAACATAGGGCTTCAAGCTAGTGGCTTGAAGTTTCTGTAGCAGTGTTTATTTCACAGGATGGGGTTGCTAGCCTCATGCCAAACCTTTTCTCTTCACCAACATTATTATTTATGGCTTAGCGAGGTAAAGGAGTGCGTCGGCCGGGGATCGAACCCGGGACCATGTTCATGGTCGGCGAGCGTCCTAACCGCTATGCCACCGACGCACAATAATAATAATTGATTTCTACTATATAATATACAGCAAACTAATACAATTTTTAAAAGTGATTTCACTCCTCTGTAGATTAAATTGAAATCTAATGCCTCATTTGCTCTAATTTCATAAATCATTCGAGGAATTCACATAATTCAGTTTCAGCTAGTTGGATTAAACTAACAGTCCTGGTATTTTTAGCCTTATGAATACTCTAAAAACTATGAATTTGAATCTATATATAGTGTGAGTTTGAAGAACTACAAATCTTATGGCTACTCAAAAGAGTAGACCAGTGCTTCATAGTATTTATTTTTTAAGGCTTTCTAACTATCTGTCTGTTTGTTTGTTTTTCACAAAGAACTTTGCACTGATGTGCAGCAGCTCGAGTCGCCACACTCCCTCCATGTTGAGCACACAAAGCAAGAGAAGAAAGTAGAAGAAATGCATAATAGAGACAGTAGACAGGGATATGAGACAAAAGGAATAGTAATAACGAAGAACAATATAGTTTCATTGGGTATTATAAGTCACAAGGAGTGGATGCATCTGCGTTATTCATTGAGAACGATTTTGAGCCATATCACCGATTGTCTCCAGCCTTCATTGGTTTTTACCGTCCCGAGGACCCCAACCAGGAAGTCTACACTTTCCTACGTGGCTGGCTTAAACTAACTGTTGTGGATTTCATTGAGTGATGAAGCCATGTTTTGGTTTGACCACCACTAGCTAACTCTTTTCCAACCTGACTCTATGTCAGCTAACATTTTCCGTCGAGGAAGGCGATGGTTAGGCATGTATGCGTAGCACATGTCCTAACTATCTCAGTCGATGTAGCTTCACAGCCTCGTCTGTTGATTCCCCTTCCCTCCTTACCTAGCACTCGACCCACGCCTAACCTCAATATTGCTCACTCTACTATACCACTTCACACGGGAGATAGAACACAGACACACAGAAGCAAAGACAGCCTTTTCATATCCTCTACTCTCAATGGCCAGGTCTCACTGACAGCCATAAAGGAGGACGGAGCGGACTACTGAGCAGTACACACGTCCTTTGGTCGATGGCCAGCTGGATATCACGTCTACTAAGCCAGAGACGGCGTGAACTGGCACATGCGAAACTAACCCTCTGTATCCGTGCTGAGATTTCCTCAGAGATCAACTTTCTAACTATCTACAAATATCTGGGATCTCGATAATTCTTTGTCGATGACTGCAGATGACTCTATTTACATTTGTATGATATAATAATAATAATAGTACCATTTCGCTTCCATACAAAGCGGAATAAGTCACTCGATAGAGTACCAGTTGCTTTCGGTCCCCACCGGCTCCCCTCCACCACAGCCCCCGAGAAGGAAAGCAGAAGAAGGATTCATCCGAGCGGGTAAACAGCTAGTTTTATTTGTTGCATAAGGTTACGCTCTAGTGGTTTTCCCATCAATTTGATGAAGACTTGATTACCTCAGTAGCCAATTGGTTTAAACCAGTGTTAGCCTTTGACACGGGTTAACCTGCGAAGTGTAGGTGTTTCAATATTAGAGGAAATTAGGGGTATATAACATTACAACCCAATATCTTGCACTATATATTATGTTACCTGTCTTTCGATGAACGAACAAATAATGTGTAATTTCTTATTTTGTTCAATATAATTTAGACATATAAGTCGTAGTGGTGTTGGTCGAACTGGTGGTATTGGTGGTGGTAATCTGCTCAATATCAGCAATACATTAGCTGGGAATACTGTTGCCGCTGCTGCTGCTGCTCGTAGAAGAACTACTCCTGTAGGTAAAAGTCTACAGAATGATTCATCTAAGCAGAATTCTCATGATTTCTCTGGACAGACTGCAGAGGATATTCCAAGTAAATATTGCTAAATTAATATTCTGTTCTATCCTGTAAACAATTTACCTCCGATTTTTCACAGAATATCTGTCTAGATTTCCTAGCCTTATCTTAATCTCATATATATATCTTAACGTTCCGAGTGGAACATAGGGCCTCAAGCTAAAGCTTTGAAGTCTTGGTAGCAGTGGTTTTATTTTTATGCAGGGTGGGGTTGCTAGCCTCACACCCATTCTTCCCTCTCTACAGGTCTTATTACCAGCTTCGTCATGTTCAAGAGTGCGCGCGTTGTCGGGGATTGAACCCCGGACCATATGAGGGACGTTTGGTTCATGAGCGTTCTACCGCTGAACCATCGACTCATAAAACAAGATAGTACTTGATAATAACTGGAATGATAATTAACAGTTTAATGATAGAAAATTAACAATTTCAAACTGTAGAGTTGTAACTTATTTGGTCTGGAAAATGGATCGTTATTTATTTAGTCGGTCATAAGGTTTGAGTTCTTCATCACTTCATCCAGGAGACTGGATGATGCACTGGGTGCAGAACTCCGCCCACCGGAACAAACTGGATTGAGAAAAGGCAAATCACATGCTGATCAAATTGCAAGTCTACGCATCGTTATCGAACAAAACATAGAATTGCAGTCAAACCTCTACCTCAACTTCATTGACTTCGAAAAGGCAGCGTTGATGGAGAAGTAATTTAGAAACTATTTCAACACTACGGCGTACGTCAAGTCTTTATCAACCTCATTCAACAGCTGACAATATGACAATGGCACGTGTCAGGTGATTCACAACAGAAAACTCAGCGAAGCTGTCGAAGTGAATAAAGGAGTAAGACCAGACTGCCCGCCTACTATCACCGATGATATTCCTAATTATGGTGGACACTGGATTATGCGTTAGACTGTGGGGGTTGAGAAGACAGGAATACGTTGGACCACCGATAAGAAGACTCTTGAAGATGTGGATTTCGCGCATGGATGATTTATGTCTATGTACACAAACTCGAAGACTTGCAGGCAGGCGAAAACCAACAAACTGGCAGAGGAAGTAGGCAGCGAAGACAGAGCTACAGGTGAATATAGAGTAGATGGAGGTGATGAAAATAATCAACTAACCAAGAGCAACGATAAACAGCTGCAACCACTATTAACGAAAGCAATTTGAAAGAGGTTACTCCCTTCACTTATCTAGAAATCATTATTTCGACTACAGGCAGACAGAACGGATAAAGATTTCAAAGCCAGCCAGAATCAGAAATGCAAGTCACACCTTCATCACTCTGAAATCGGTTTGAAAATCCTCTGCACTCTCCAGCACAACGAACAAGATTCGGATTTCCAACATAAATGTTAAGTCAGTCAGTCCGTCAGTCAGCTGTTCGATATGGGTCAGAAACTTGGCTAGCACTTCACGAAAAGCATTTCCAACAGGCGATTGCAGAGGTTTATCAACAGCTACCCCCTTCGTTGGCTCCATATTGAAGATAGAATTGCTGGCTGGCCAGAAAGAATCAGCAACAAGAAACTCTGTAGTGGAACTAACCAATCAAGAATCTATTGATCCAGAAATATGTAGAACGAAATTGGGATGGATTGGATGGCACACGTTGAGGAGACCGTTGAATGACATTGCGCTCAATGTAGGCCATCACTCGAGTGGAACTCGAATGGGAAGCGACGAGTGGGGGGTCGTCACATCAAGGATGACATTGGAGGAGATCGTGCGGTGAGGAGGAGATGAGAGATTATAGAAAAAATAGTGGACCCAGATGAAGAGAATTGCAGAGAATAGAACAGAATGGAGATGTATTTTTGATGCCCTGTGTTCTTTTCGCGGAACCCAAGGGAAGAATATTAATGCAATAATAACGATAATAATTAAGTAGACTAAAGATTCCTATTTGGTTGTATAGATCATCAGACTTTGATTCTATATGAGGATTGTTCAATGTTCTTGTAATTAAACTTTTCCATTTTTTAAAATTTTATTTATTGTCTTTCTTTTTGTTTGATACAGAAATGAAGGTGTTATTGAAAGCTAATTTGGCAACTGAATCAAGTATGATTATATTAGATATTTTGAGTACATTCGCAACAGTTTTTAAAGTAAGCCTATTTCTGTTGTTTTTTTTTTTTCCTTTGTTGGTGTTCAATTAATTCTTTAAAACTGGTTTCCCTAACTCACTTTTTTTTGGTATACTAGTTATGTGAGTGAACTGTTTCTACTCAGTGTAATTCTTAAATATGTCACCACCACTTTTTTTACGTTCTCATTGATGCTAAAACTCATTGTGAGCTGAGGGGGGAGGGTGTTGAGGCTTTATTTATTATAAAGAACTGAGGAATTCTGTAATTTCTAGGCCATCGCCACCTACCTAATATTCACTAATAAACGATAGTTGTTGGATTTCATACAACTGGTTCCCTTTATTAGTTTGAATAAAGAAAGAATGAACATATTTGCAGGATAATATGAGCTCGTTTTATTTCATGCTCACATCCTAAACAAAATGGATTATAAGCTGCAAAATTTCTGAACATACTTTCTTTCCACAACGACTTCAAGTTATAGATAGGCAACATAATTGTAAGTAGACAATTATTTAGTGTTAAAGTGCAACGACAGACGACAAGGGCCAGTCAACAGATCGTTTATTCAGAAAATCAACAGATATTTATGGATTTTGTATGGATGTGTACATTAAGTTTGTCAAATATATGAAACCAATAATTCGGAAAAACGAAACTTTGACTGCGCCTAAAAAGAAAATCTACATGAACTTGGATTTCAAGGGAGATTTAGCAAGCGATATTCTCAAGAGAAGGATCACATCATCTCTGAGAAGAACATTCTTTGCAGCAACGTTAAGAATAGTGTTCTCCAGTCGCCCACTAATCTGCAGAAACCTTAAGGACAAGATCCTGCATCTGGCCACTTCTATGTGCATATACCAGTTCACCTGCTGCTGTGGAGCCAGGTACATCGGTCGTTCGACGCGCATCCTGTCCAAGAGGATTCAAGAACACTATCCAGCATGGTTGCGAAAAGGCAATACTGGTGCAATAAGGAGTGCGATAATTGAACACCTGGTCAGCACTGATCATTGCATTTCAACAAACGCCTCCTTCAAAGTAATCTACCGAGTCAAGAACAACATGTCAAAGGCAATACGGTTTCGTCTCCTTTGTATCGCTGAAGCTCTAGCCATTCACATGGAAAAACCGGAGCTGTGCATACAAAAGAAGATTACTCAACCACTTCTACTCTCATGGTAACAATGTTTTTATTTTTTGAGTTTTTATTTTTATTTTATTTTGATAACTTAATTGTGTTTCTTTGTCTGTTCCTTAGTTGCTTATAATTCTTGTATTCACTTAGATCTCTTACATAGTTTCGTATTATCTACTTTGTTTCTATGTGCATCCTGAGTAAAACTCACTCATCAAAATATTCATATTATTATTGCATAACTTCTTTTAACAACTGTTTGTGACAACTCATCAGCTTTGTTACTACCCTAGCTTCACTAACACTTAATTTTCTTGACCTGTATTACCAACCTTCACTGGTTTAGTTAAAATTAACCTTAACCGATTGTAACTTTGTTTGACAAACTTAATGTACACATACATACAAAACAATGCATATATATTTGCGATTGTACAGCTAAGAAGATGAATTCGCCGAAAAGAGACTCTTCGCTGATCTACGTGTTTTGTTTTCATTAATGCCTGGATGGGGATTATCCATGAATTTATGGATTTTTATGTACATTATTATTATCAGAGAAGCAACGTCTTCTGATGGGTTGTTTTCCTGCTGAAGGTTATTCTGTGTCATCTCTTTGTTGCCGTTTCTCAGAAAGTTAAGTCATATATCTGCGAATCGTATTTGCACACATTAAGTCTGCTGTGATTGGTTGGTGAGTTCCTCAAGGTTGAGGTTTGTTATTGTTTTTTCTCATGACTCCGATTCGGGACGTAAACACACACACGTAAATTGTTGTTGTCTACAATTTTGGCTTTCAGCCGGCTCTCATCACAAAAGGAGTAAATATTTATTTCAAAGATAATAATTAGACAAAGCGATAGAGTTTAGATTTCACTTGGAAACAAGGATGGAACACAACAATGTTAATTTATGTTATGTTTATATTTCTGTTGCATAATATTCCACTCAATCTTGATTATGATTTTCACTCACTGAGTTGAACGACTCACTATTAAGGTAACAAATCTACTAAATTAAATTGCTTTATCTATTTTATAATTTTACGTCACTGTTCACCCCAGTCCCCGCCATCCTCCTGAACTCTCCATCACAATATGTATAAATTCACTGTGTTGTTCTATCTTGTATTTTGTCTCTAGTCCATGCTTGTTTCCAAGCCAAATTTGAATTTTACTCTTCTTCAGTAATTATGATATAAGTAGTTGAGAACAAAATATTTAGAGCGAACAATTGTGGTTTCAATAAATTCTTCTTCAGGCTCTACAATTATAAATCCATTAATTAATTTAAGCATACAATAGCCAGCCAGTAAAGGCAAATTAGAATCATATCAGAAATGTGTATTGTGGAACAAGTATAAGTAAGATGGATGGGATGGAACAATAGTCAGTTTTATATCATGGTTTAATATATGTACAGTCAATGAGCATATGGGAAAATGAGATGAAATAATTTAATGATAAAAATATGGTCAACAGGTTTCGAGGGTGAGTATAATCAGTGGTGTGTGAGACAATATGAATACCACAGAAAAATAAACCGAAAAATGGGATAGACTAGACGTAAAATCAAGGGTCACTATTTATTATAATAATAATAATTGTAAAATAACAACGATGATATGGTGTAAACTTAAAAGTACTACTGGTGAACGATTATCAAATAATAATGAAATGAACAGGATTTTGTGAATATGATAACAAGTTAGAAAAGCATTACTTAAACCTAAGGTGATAGAAATCATAAGAAAGGTCATGAAGTCGTAAAAGGTCAGAAATGAACGTTTGTCAATGAAACAAAGGAATACAAGAAGAAGAAAAGAAAAGAAATTGTGCTAGGAATTTAAAGTGCTAATGTTTATAGAGGATTTGTTGGCTTTATTGTAGGCCAAGGTAAACATAGTGGTTGAACATACTTCTTCTGTATACAAACAGCCGGTGTTCTGCTATTGACTGCAACCGCTTCAGCTACTGAGAGAAGAAGTAATCGAGCTCCTCTCGATAGATTACCAGGAACACGGTAAATAACTGAGAACGCCTGGTCAAGTTTTATCGAGTGTCGAGTATCTTCCATGTGGGCTAATACTGCACTGTTTGCGTATTTGGTTACCCCTTTACTCAACCATTCAGGTACATGTTCGCGTGCGCTCATGGAGAAAGCCTTCTGAGTACGGCCAATATAAATAGTTACTCCTTTAGCACTGAATAGTTCGTCTACTTATATCATCTTTGGAATTAAGTTGCATATGCTCTCTGTCTATAACTTGAAGTCATTGTAGAAAAGTATGTTCAGAAATTTTGCAACTTATAATCGATTTTGTTTAGGATGTGAGCGGTTGAAGACGACAATCCATGAAATAGAACGAGCTCATATTATCCTACAAATATGTTCGTTCTCTCTTTATTCAAAATATTTTTTGAACTACTTACAAAATTATAAGTAGGCTAATGTTTCGTATTATTAATGTTGGTATCGTAGTTTCACAAATGTTAATTAATATTAAAAGGGCTAAAAATGGATTCATCACTTGTATTATGAGTAATTTCATCAAAATTTATGCGAATGATTGTATTTTCATATTTGACGTATACCAAATAAATTATAATTATATTTCAATAGTTTACACACAATAAGTTTTTGTTTTTGGTAATATTTTGTGGAAAATTTACTACCCGTGATCACACCAACTGTTGGAATTTTTTTTTTAATTCACACTTTTACTGATTTGTACTCATAATATTAAGACCAACAAGAGACAGTTCAAAGCTAGAAGATTCATTTGAATTAGTGAGACGACTGAAAGGTACCAAATTAGAGGAAGAAGAAATACAAGTCAGCTTTGATGTAAACAGTCTCTTTACTAAAGTACCCATTCAAATGACCATGGTTGCACTGAAAACGAGACTAGACGGAGATAATGACCTAAAAGGCAGGACACAATTATCCGTAGAAGAGATAATAAAAGGGGTTGAATTCTGTCTAACAACAACAACATATTTTACATTTGAAGGAAAAATATACCAACAAAATGAAGGAGGAGTAGCCATGGGATCGCCCATCTCACCAATAATAGCTGAATTATTTTTAGATTTTTGGGAAGAGAATGCACTTAAACCATTCAGGTCACCAATAAAATGTAGATGACACGTTAGTTAATTATGAAATAGAATGATATTGAGAAATTCTTCTCACACATAAGCAACAGTCATTTAGACTCAATCAAATTCACTACGGCAATAGGGAATGAAATTGGGGAACTGCCTATGTTAGACTGCAAAGTACAAAGAGTAACAGATGGCAGCATAAAAATGACGCTATATGGAAAAACTACACATTCTTAGAGATTCCACAATTATCACTCAGCTCATCCACTCACGATAAAACCAACGAGTCTAATTAGAAAAAAATAAATCAATTAAAAGATTCAGTAAAAATATGGATAAAAGTAGTAATGTAATTTACAAAATATCTTGTTCTGAGTGTCCGACGTCAAACGTCGGATCATTCAAAATAAGAGTAAATGAACATAAACGTCCGTTGTCTCTATGTTCTCTTGGAGTCCTGTGTTCGCTGCCTATCTCTTCAGCTAGTTTGTTGGTTTTCCCCTGTAAGTTTTAGAGTTTTTGTGATATTAGACATACGTCTTTTTCGAAATCCAGATTCTTCATGAGCGCTGACTGGTCAAAGAATCATTGGAAAACCAGCACCCGGAGTACTGGACAGCTGTTTCATCAGCCTAGTTTGAAACTCATTCACATAATGATAAACCCATCGACTGGGCATTCGTTTTCAGTAGTACCTAACATACCTACCTCTGCTTATTACGAGGAGAGCCCAGCATGCAGTATCATCCTGTGGTGTAACCAAAAGCTCAAATTTTCCAAATGGTTCTCTAACAGATATCACCTCATGATGAAATCTTTTCAGATACTTGAAAGCTGTTATATCTCACACCGTACACTGACATTTTAAATGTCTTAAGCAATACCTATCTATGCTAATGTGAATAACATAACTTTTTCTTATCTCTGTGTGAATAGTCAGTAGTACGTATTTCGGTCGTGTTTTTTTGTGTACACTTTTGCTTACTGACTACTATTTAAGTAAAAGGCACAAACAGCGAAGAAAATTTTCTTTTCGACGATTCATTTTCAAGAGCTGTACAATCGTAATTATAATTAACAAAGAAATACTTTAGACCAATCAGATAATGGTAAATTTTGTCCTTGGAAAATTGTATTACATAATGTAAGGTGTAAGAAGGGATGACTAATTGTAAGTTAGAAAGGAGACAGAAGTTGGCATGACGTAATAAGTGTGAGATAGTGAATAATCAATAATCTCGTGTAAAATGGACAGGAACTAGTGGAAAGGCTATAAAGTGTTTTTGTATAAAATATGTATGGGAAACAATGTTATTAATAAACAGTAATAGAGTGGTAATAAAATGTGGATGATGGGGACAAAATGATAATAAAAGTATTAATAAAATAAAATAATAATAATGGTAATAATAGTGAACTTACATAGTAAAGGAAAGAAGCAAAATTGTGATAAGAAATTTTACTCTGGCCATGGTAAGGCAAGAGAATGTATGTATCGCTTTTGTATGCAGAGGTCCGGTTTTAGATCTCGAATAGCTAATGCTTCAGCTATGTACAGATGGCGAATCCGAAGTCCCTTTGTACGATATTGAGGGACTCTGTGTAACACTGTGAAGCATTCATGTGGGGGTGCTCGATGTCCAGAGATGACAAGGTGTTCGAGGATCGAGCTGTTGCTATTCTTTTTGCTATTTTTGCTATTCTATTTAAGTAGTAAATCTACTTTGTGGTAATATCTAGTCATCATGGACATTTTTTTCATTGGTGAAAATAGGCCTTTGAAATGCTTCAAATGCTTACTTTAGCTGGTAAATTCTGTTGTCTCTAGAGGAGAGATTAATGTTTTGCTATCATATGTGTATATTTTCATGCGGTTAGATTATTTTTATGGTAGTCTAGGCTCAAATGTATACAAAGTGTATCCTTAATTTTCTAAGATGTCAGATAATTCAACAAAGCCGAGATTGGAAAAGTTAAACAGACTTGAATTAGTCTCAAATCAGTGTGGAAATTTACTGCACTTAGGCAGAGAAGTAGAATCCGAGATTTCAATGCCTCTGTCAAGTCAGTACATTTAAACAGTTCACAGAGACTTGATTGATCAGGAAAACTACTTCTTATAGGCTACTGCAGAGACCTACACATGAACAGCTGCCTCCTTCACTTGATACAGAAGATCAGACGACCAGATAGAATGCATAAAGGACAAGTAACTTTGACAACCAGCCCAGCAGAAGTTGGAATTCATGAACTGGCCATCAGATCGGATCCCAATGACTTCTGAATGGGCTGCGAGTTCTCCTTGTAACTGGAAGGTCCTGAGCTCTAGCCCTGACGGTGGGTACGTACTGCTGTGGGAGAGTCCCAACCACTAGGACAAAACGACTGGCTTTCCAGCACTCCGGTGCTGGTTTTCCAATGGTTCTCTAACTGATGTCAGCTCATCATGAATTCCTGTAACTAATCAATTAGTGTTCATATAATCTTGCACTCCTTCGTTAACAGTTCAGTTTTATTCTTTGTATCTGTGCACTTAACTTCTAACACTGTAGTTTGCTGAATTTGTATTGTGCACCTTCACCCACTGAGAGTTCAATAATCAGATAGTATCCAAAGGCTTTTTCAGATGATCCATATTATACCGTATGTAGTACGTGTGGATAGTACCATGTAGTTACTGAATTACTTCCACACAAAAAACTCTGTCTGCATCACTTTATATGCATTAGAAAATAACAGTTATACATCAGGATTTATTTGCGAAAGTTACCATTCATACTGGGTCAGATTGACATGGGATATTAGACTTGTTATCTGAGTGATACATATTCACACACACATACATACATATATATGTATAAAATACACGTGAGACTAACCTGAAAAGGAGTGGTGAAATGTTTAGACAACAAAACAAGCATTGAACTAGTCATCAAGTGATCTGCTTAGTTTGTGTGTGTGTGTGCGTGTGTATGTCAGATAGATGTATGATTAACACTATTGAATTCTCAGTTGTATATTATGATTTTTTTTAAAACACAACACCCATATATACTTGGGTGGAATTATCTTCCAAGTTAATAACAACTGTTCATTCATTAAGAGAATATATTTGTTAAATTGATTTCATAGACAGACGTACGGCAGTTGTGTGGGAGGGTAGGGTGCAGGAGAAAGGCGAGAATGACTATGCATCTTGTGGGATAGAAATCACTAAGCTCTGACACTCTTGATGCAGCATATATTTCATCCATCATCTTAAATTGGCTGGTTGCTTGTTTGTTTTCAGTTTCTTTTCTGTTAACTTTGTTTCTTTGTTTGTGAACCCTTTTGCTGCTGTTGTTGTTGTTTATTATAATTATTATTTTGTATTTCCCAAGGAATGAAAAACAAAACGATATTGCTTTTACTGACGTTTCGCTATTTAATGCTTATAGCTTTATCAAAGTATTATGTTGTTGTTGTTCAAATTTTCTTTGTTCATTTTTATTTTGTAATCATAAAAATGTTTTGCCTTTTTTTTGCTTTTTCCCCACCTCATCTTTCCCTTTCTAATTTTAGTCAGAGTTGAATAGTTGTAAACCCAGTGATCCAGTATTTCGGTGCTTACTCGAAACTTATGTCGCCATTCTATCGAACAATCCATCCGATCATGTTATACGACATACATTCTCTGCTCTTCGCGTATTTATCAATCAAAATTCTCAAGTAAGAAGAAGATGTATTGAATATCTACGTGAGATTCAATACATATGCTTTTCTTTTATCTTTTAATAACAATGTAGTATGTGTGGTTAATGTTTAATTTTAAACTTCGCGCTTTAACACTTCGCCTACATCTATGATTGGTTAGAATTCAGTTATCATGATTGGATGTCTAATTGTGACCAGACTATGATGATAGGATAGGGTTCGAACCCTAGTACCTATTGGTTGAAAAACAAGTGCTTAAACCAGTGGGGTCACTTTCTGAGTGTAAAACAAACAAGTAAGAAAAGGAAAGAGTATGAAGTATGTATAACAGTCAACTGTAGCACAGAGGTAGAATGCTCGTCAACTACGCCTCATATGGTTTGAGGTTCGATCCCCGGCCACAGATGCACTTCTTTACCTCACTAAGCCAGTAATAAGACTGGTGAAGAGGCGAGGTTTGGTATAAGGCTAAGTGCATCCCTATCCCGTAAAAATAAACACCACTGCTATTGAAACTTCAAGTCTCTACCTTGAAGCCCCCTATGTTCCACTGGGAACGTAAAGGAAAAAAAAGTCACAGTCAACAAAATATAAAGATAATGCGATATTCTGTCTTTTTTGATGAATAAATAGTTACAGGAATTCATCATGAGCTGAGATTGGTTAGAGATTCATTAGAAGACCAGTATCGGATAACTGGACAGCTCTTTCGTCAGACTAGCTTGGTACTCTGCACACCCACAAACGAGGTTCTACCAGCTCTCCTTTTAACTCGGAGGTCCTGGTCTCGAATCCTGGCGGTGGGTGCGTACTACTGTGGAAGAGTTCGAAGCACTAGGACGAGACGGCTAGCTGTCCAGTACTCCGGTGGCGGTGGAAGGATTTCAACAGTTCCCTAACTGAGTTCACCTCACAATAAAATCCTGTAACCAATCGAATCAAATCCCTGCAAACCAACACTTGGATAAATAGTTGCTGAATCTTCGATAAATTTATTAAATGCAAGCCATTTCAAAACAGCTCTCTCCGTCACTAATGACTGTCAGGTCTTGATAGTATCTGTATGTATGTGACAGCTACTTCCCTTCAACCACTACCAATGAGCACTGGATACAAGTTCGCATCTTGATTAAAACTATTCCAAACCTCCAGTCGGGTATCCATCATTTTAAACGCTAACGTGGTATTATCCACAAGGTCACTGTGCTAGCCTTGAATCTCATTGGGAACAACTGAGGATGTAGTTGCATCTATCTGCTGAGCCTATGCTAGAAGCAAAGTGCTCATTGTGAACTCCACCGCTATCCTGTCAATCTTCATACATTTATTCCCCTTGATGAATTTAAATAAAGCAGGAACAACAGTGGTTTGTGCAGAGTAATATGGTACCATCATTTATTTCACTGGCTTCTTATCAAGCTGCCTGCGTACAGCCGAAATAAATTATTATTTAGTTCATGTACAGAAAAGTTTTAACATACTTGCAAATTTTACATGATGTCAGTTAACTAGAAGTTCCAAACTTAGTGAACAGTGCTTAAAGAATTACGCTTATATAGTTTTTACACAGGGAGTTCAAGTTTAAACAAAATAAATGTATGCATACAATGGTAAATGAGTTGCGTAATAAAGATGAGATATGCGTTAGATGCAGAGTGACTAATAAATTAGGTAACATTGTACTGTGTTCAAGTCAAATCATAGAAATAAGAACAAATTAGTTCAGCGAAGAGTCTGTTTTCGGCGAATTCATTCACTTAGCTGTACAGTCGCAAATATATATACAATTATTTTGTGTGTGTTTGTGTGTGTGTGTACATTAGGTTTGTCAAAATCAAAATAACAGTTAGTGTGGGTTGTTGATTATATCATCAAGATAATGAAGAAGTTAAAATGTGTGATTAATAATCAAAGTTGTAACTAAGTGGGGTGAAGATTGGTAAGATGTGAGTAGAGTTACATCATTAAAATAATGAAGAAGTTAAAATGTGTGACTAGTACTCAAAGTTGTAACTAAGTGGGGTGAAGATTGGTAAGATATGAGTAGGGTTACGTAATATGGACATGTTTAGAAAGATTAGATGCTAGTGAAGGAGTTTGGAGACAATTATGAAAATAAACTAGATAATAGGTGAAAAGATTGAATGGGTTAGTTACTAAAAATTGTTATACGAAAATTGCAAAAAATTTGATAACAAAATGTTGATGACAAGTAAACTTAGAATTAAACCCACGGTAGTAGGAGGGGGTGGAGAAGTTTCTTCTGTGTGCATAACTCAGGCTTTTCCATCCAAATCGCTAAGGCTTCAGCAATACAAAGTATACGGAAGCTTGTCGATTTTGGAAGGCTTCTTTTGACTTTATAGATGACTTTGAACGACTTCTCCTTGCAAATCGAATGACCAGTGTTGAGTATATGCTCAATAATGGTGCTCCTTATTGCTCCGTTGTTACCTTTCCGTAGCCAGGCGGGATAGTGTTCTTGAACTCTTTTAGATAAAACACGCATCGAACGACCTATATACCTCGCTCCGCAAGAGCAGGTGAATTGAGTATTAATCACACATTTTAACTTCTTCATTATTTTAATGATGTAACTCTACTCACATCTTACCAATCTTCACCCCACTTAGTTACAACTTTGATTATTAATCACACATTTTAACTTCTTCATTATTTTAATGATGTAACTCTACTCACATCTTACCAATCTTCACCCCACTTAGTTACAACTTTGAGTACTAATCACACATTTTAACTTCTTCATTATTTTAATGATGTAACTCTACTCACATCTTACCAATCTTCACCCCACTTAGTTACAACTTTGATTATTAATCACACATTTTAACTTCTTCATTATCTTGATGATATAATCAACAACCCACACTAACTGTTATTTTGATTTTGACAAACCTAATGTACACACACACACAAACACACACAAAATAATTGTATATATATTTGCGACTGTACAGCTAAGTGAATGAATTCGCCGAAAACAGACTCTTCGCTGAACTAATTTGTTCTTATTTCAAATCATAGAAACAAAAGACAAGCAAAATTACAGATTATAAAAGGGGGTGAGGTTACAGCCAACGATTACGTAATCAAATGAGAGAATAAAGACATACAGTTACCAGGGCAAGGAAAGAGTAATAACTGCTTCTTTCTGAACACATAACCTGGTTCAACCGTTTGATAGGAATTGCTTTGGCAAACTTGAGGAGAATCGAGCTCCTTTGTCTATTGATAATTTTAAAGGATTTCGCGATTGCCTCAAATTTGCCGAAGCAATTACTATCAAACGCTTGAAACCAGATTTATGTGTTCAGAAAGGAGCAGTTATTAGTCTTTCCTTGTCCTGGTAACTGGATGTCTTTATTCTTTCTTTCGTTTGATTACGTAATTCTTGGCTTTAACCTCACCCTCTTTTGTAATTTGTAATTTTGCTAGTAAAAACTATACAAACGTAATTCTCTGAGCACTGTTCACTAATTGTGGAACTTTCTGTCAACTGACATCATGTAAAATTTGCAAGTACGTTAAAACTTTTCTGTACATGAACTAAATAATAATTTATTTAAGATGTATGCAGGCAGCTGATGAGAAGCCAACGAAATAAATGATGGTACCATATTATTCTGCACAAACCACACTGTTGTTCTTGCTTTATTCAAATCCTGTCAATCTTCAGATATCATTGAAGTGTCTGTGTACTACTAGGAGACGACATATCGATTATAACTGGAGAAGATATGTTGCTCACCTTCGTTAAGAGTAATTTTTATTCAAACAAGAAGTTCTTAAATACATAAATTATAAGTGCTTTAAATAGCGATCATTAATTACTTTAAATCTAAGATAAAATAAAATACCACGTACTGCACACTTACCAATGTCAGACTAATTGAATACTATTCAAAATTTAAAGTGGCACTTTCAAATATCGAAATATACCCATAAGGAAAATCATAGTCGTTTTTGTTCAGCGAAGAAATACTATCTCTTTTCAACGACTTCATTTTCAAGCAGCTGTACAGCGGTCGTATTTGTATTACGGAAAAAGAAGCCGTTAAGTGACACTAGAAATTGCTCAGTGGTCAATATTTCATATTTTGTAATGCACGCTGAAAATTCCATACCTGTATCGCAAATACTGTTTGGAATAAAGCTATTATTATTATGATTATTATTATATGATAAGAATAAAGATAATTAAAATGATGTACTACTAAGGGAGGTTGGGCTGAAGGGGATTGGATTACAAAACGCCTAAAGATTATTAAATAAGCGAATCAGTATTAAAATTTTAAAAATAGTAGGTCAAGTGTTGTCTAAAAAAAGAACGAATTGTGCGATGATGATAACAATAAAGACAGCGAAGATGAAGTGAAGAAGTCGAATGAATTCAAGTGGTAAAATAGAATAAAATAAAATAAAAGAACATTACAATGACCAAGATAAAGAAAGGGATTTGACAAAACGTTTTTGAGTGTACATAATTTAGGTTTTTGTCCATGTATAGCTAGAACTTTGGCTATGCATAAGTGGAGAAAATGTAAACTTTTGGAATGATTGGATTTGGTCGTGTAGATAACTTTAAAGGATAAATCATCACGTGGGGCTAAATGACCTAACTCCAGAAGGTGTTCAAAGATTGAAGACTTTGTCCTCCTTTGCTCACCCTTCACTATCTAAACCGGGTAGTGTTCAGCTATGCGTTTACGGAGATTACGCTCACATCGTCCTATGTAATCAGCCTCACACGAGCATGTGAAGGAGTATATGCACAATAGATGTGGACATACGCGGTAGTTTATCCTTGACGCGTTGTCGAATCATATTTCGACTGGTAAATACTAAGTATAAGTCAGTTGGAATTTAATTGGTGGATGCTGACTACCAGTGGAATCCAGGATCCCTATTTCATCCTATTTGGGACTCGTCATCTGGATGTACCCGCATAAGTCAGTTGAATAAGAACACCGTTTAATACATTTCGATAAATGCCTATTAATTACTTCAGAAGTAATATCACCTTTGAAAGCCAAACTCATCAACAATGTCTTCTTCGGCACTGTGATTATTTTGCTTAGGATGGTTTCTTTCCTGATGTTTCTGTCGATAAACCTTCTAAGATATCCATTATTAAGGGAGACTTGTACGAAGGCTTTCTTATTCTAAGCTTGAAAATGAAATCTTCAAGTCTATTGATTTGTTACCCATATACTTCACTGAATAACTCATAGCTCTATGATTCTTCGATACAAGCTTATCTCTTTCACTGATTGATTTCCTGGTTATTATTTTTTTTATTTATTTATTTTCTCTAGACCTTATTCTCCGAATCGACAGATATTCTGAGTACACTGTGTCTAGCTGGTTTACGATGTTCTAATCAATGTTTTCTAGCCTTCTCATCATCACCATCATCAACTCTGCCTTCATCGTCATTGTCAACAACTGCGAATCTCTTAGCTTCACATAATGACTTTGTGTTTGATAGAAATTGTCAAACATCATTATCGTCAGCAGTTAATAGTGGAATAATGACATTGTCTACAATGAATATTGATACAAATTATAATATTAAAGGTAAACCTCCATCAATTCCAAAAATAAGGAGTTTTGAGGCGCCTGAAACACATCAAACTATGCTGAATACTAATCAGAATGATATACATAACAATAATGATAATATTATGGATAATCAAAATGTAATCAGTAAACTTTGTTTAGATGCTTGTGGTTTCTTGTATCGACTATGGAAGTGTAGTTTTGAAACACATCATCAAGCTGGATTTCATCGTGTGCACTTACAGGTAATGTAGATGTCTTTTTTGTGAGTGAGTGTGTGTGTGTATGTATGTATTTCCAGATGTGTTAACGTTTTCATAATCTTATAGATATTCTTTAAAAACTATGTATTAAACCCGAAGTCTCAACTTTTATTAGTTTATAAGTTGGAATTTGTGTCTGATTACCTGTGGAGTTTGTCTTATTATTATTATTATATTGTTTCCTTAAGTTCCTAGAGGAACATAGGGCTTCAGCCGAACGTATCCATTGCATTTGGTTCTCTGCCAACGTTTCCATCTGACTCCACATCTGCCCACGTGCTTTTATCTCCTTTTCACATGACCTCCCCCTGCATATCACCCTCGATCTGCCGGACCAACTCGCCGCTTCCCATTCACCTTCCACTCGAGGACCTGTCTAGTGATGTCACTTGATGATGGTTATCTCAGAGTATGGTCAATCCACCTCGATTTCTTCCTGCCTTTTCGTTGCACAATCGGTTCCTGGTTGGTTCGCTACCAGAGATCTCTGTTGCTGATCATTTCCGTCCAGCCATCTGATATTGAGTAGTATTGAGCGAAGACAGCTGTTGATGAAGGTCTGTAGTTTCTTCGAAGTGATTTTCATGATGCGCCAAGTCTCTGATTCGTATAGTGAGTAGCACTGACTTCACATTGGGGTTGAAAATCCGGATGTTATTTGTCATGCTGAGTGCTATTGATCTCCATACAGACTTGAGATTGATGAAAGTTAGCCTTGCTTTCCCGATGATCCTCGCTTCGATATCCTCATCAGTTCCGTCCGCCTATAGTTGAAATGACGATGCTTCCCAGGTAGGTAGACGGGCAGGTAAAAGATGTTGCTTCTTTCAGATTCCTCCTATTCATGCTGGCTAAGTTGTTGTCTGTTGCTGTTACTGTTTGTTTTGATTGCTCTGAATATGATTGGTCGTTTATTAAAGCATACTGACCTTTTAATGGTTGATAGCTTTGCGTCAAATTGATGTCTAGTGTGTCGCACAAACTCGAAGACTTACAAGTGGAAACCAACAAACTAGCTGAAGAAGCAGTCACAGAAGACAGGAATGCAGGTGAACATAGAGAAGACGGAGGTAATAAAGGTAACCAACAATAGCACCCAGCACCAATCACTACTAATGGGAGAAATTTGGGCGTGGTTACTTTTCTTCAGGTGGTAGTCCTCACAGATGAAGATGTCAAAACCAGCCAGAATCGGAAAAGGTGAGGTACACCTTCATCACTCTGTAATCAGTGTGAAAAGCTTCTGCACTGCACTCCGCCTCAGTAAAAAGAACAAGATTCGAATTTTGAACACAAATGTGAAGCCCGTCAGTCAGTTAGTCAGTCACATCTATATGGGTCAGAAATTTGGCCAGTGTGTCACAAAAGGCATTTCCAACAGGCGGTTGCAGAGGTTTATTACCAGCTGCCAGCTTTGCTGACTGCATATTGAAGGTGAAATGGTTGGCCAGAAAGAATTAGCAACAAGTAAGTCTGTAGTGGAACTAACCAATCAAGAATCTATTGGTTAACAAATATGTAGGAGAAAATGGAGATGGATTGGATGGCACACGTCGATGAGACCGTTGAATGACTTTGCGCGACAGACCGTCGAGTGGAATCCCGATGGGAAACGAATAGTGGATTGTCCGAGGGTGACTTTGGAGGAGATCGTGTAGCGAAGAGGAGATGAGAGAGACTATGGGCAGTCGCGGGGTCAATTGAAGAGGACTGCAGAGGACAAGACGAAATGGGGGACGTGCTGTTGAAGCCCTATATTCTATTCGGAACCTAAGGGAACAATGATTTTTTTTATGTCCTTCACGTTCCCCAGTGGAACGTGAACATGGAACATAAGGCTTCAAGCTAGTGGCTTGAATTTTCTGTAGCAGTGTTTATTTTACAGGATGGGGTTGCTAGCCTCATGCCCAACCTTTCCTCTTTACCAGCTTTTATTTCTGGCTTAGCGAGGTAAAGGAGTGCGTCGGCCGGGGTTCGAACCCCGGACCATGTGCATAGTCGGCGAGCATCCTAACCGCTATGCCACACCGACGCACAATGATAATAACAATAATAGTGATAATGTGATTTTTGTCAACGGTGATTTACTAAGCTGTCGACTCTCAATAGATTGTTTGATTTTTGTCTTTATTTTTCTATTTATATTTATATTTACGTTCACACACATTTGTCTTGTGATTTCTGATGCATGCGAAACGACAATAAATACCTGATAATTGAATCACTTGTTTAGCTTATAAATATTCTTCTGTTTGGTAATTGTAATTGTTATGATCGGTAGTCAACAAATCCAACTATTATAAAATGGCAGAATAAACGATAATGCTAGATATGAAATAGTGTTTACTTGAGTAGTAGTAGTAGTAGTAGTGTCCCCTGTTAGTTAACTGACTTCTTTTTAACATAAATATCGAAACGAAACTAAAGTGCACTAATATAGAGTGTACTTAAGCGTTTATGTTACTTGGCTCAATAATCACAATATAACTGGAGAAGACAAGAGATTTATCAGTAATTTGGTATATTACACACCACCTTATATGAAAATTGTCAATTATTGCACAGATCTTCCGTGTTGTGCTTGCTACCTCTTCTGCCCTTCCTTCGTATTGTGTTTCTTTCTCTTCTCTTCGTGTCTTTCCGTCTCTCTCTCTCTCTCGGTTATTTGATATTTTTGTGTGCCGATGAACCTCTTATTATATATACTACTGATAAGTCTTGTCAGTAGTGTACGCCAAACTATCATTCACTAAATGCGATACGTCCTGTTAATAAGCGCTAAACAAGAAAACACATGCATTCAGGATTCTATTGCTAAGTATTACCAGACGAATGTCAGTGTTTTCACCTATTTAAAAAAAAAACTAATATATCCCATTATTTCTCATTTAATTCATAGTTTGAACTTTCCTTTTGATTGATTGGACCGAAGTGCTCAGCGTCAGGTTAACATGTTGGCTGCTTGTGCACAGATGCTTCGAAGATGTCTGATTATTCAACTTGAAGTTAGCTTGTGGATGGTGACTGACAAGCAGTGGAATCCAGGATGTTCATTTCGTCCTATTTAGAATTTATCAATCTGGATATACCTGCACTCCCCCAATAATTGATTGTGTTCCCACTAAGGTTCGAGTTCAGTAACTATAGTTTCAAATGCCAAAGCATTATGTTCTAGACTACTTGTACCATGAAGAGCCACTTCTTTCTTGTGCACCTGATATCAGTAATTATTCATAATTCAATTCGGACGTCTTATTGATTGATTGATTGAACCGAAATACTTGACCTCAGGTCCAAATCTGGGCTCCTTATGCAGATGTTTCAACTAGTCCCAAACAGGACAAAATGCCCATTCTGTATTCCACTGCTAGTCACTATCCAACAATTCACCTTTAATTGTAGTCAATTAGAATTTCAGTGAAGAGAATATCAATCACTAAGGTAGAGAGAGAGAGAAGATAAATTCATCCAGTTAATGACTTGCAAACATGAAAATACATGTTTTTTGAATTTTACCAGACAAATATCAAGATTTGACCTTTCTTCAAAAAAGAAAAACAACTAAAAGAAACAAACATACCACGGATTGATATCAGTTAGAGAACCATTGAAAACCAGCCACATGGCGTACTGAACAGCTGTTCCATCCTAGTTTTGGAATCATTGACAGCACGCACTCACTGCCAGTGTTCGAACCCAGGACCTTCTGGTTACAAGGCAATCTCGTGAAAACAAACCTGATCCTTACAAACCAACTCTTGATAATTAATCTGATGCTCACCAGTGACTTCCTACAGGACAGTGTTTCCTGGAGTTCTAGTGAGGTCCAACCAGTCAAATGTGAGGATGGATTTTCCATCGAAGACATTGCTTGGTGCCAGTCGCGCTAAATCACGAATTGGTAGAAGTTATAATTCATAGGTTGGGTATTGAATCGGGTTCCAGTGGCTGCTGAATGATCTACGAGCTCGCTCACCCTGTAACCGGAAGGCCCTGGGTTCGAACCCTGGAGGTGGGTGCATACCACTGAAGAATCCCAACAGCTGGTTGTCCAGTACTCTGATGCTGGTTTTCCAATGGTTCTCTCTAACTGATGTCAGCTCATAATGAAATCCTCCAACCAATCAAATTAATATACCTTTATTTCTATTTAACTATATTTAGATTTCTTTTGATATACCACCACCTTGTTTCTATATTCGCATATGTTCTTACTGTTGGTTTGTTTATTTATTTATTTATTTTGAAGACAATTATTGCTATTTCAAAGTTGGTCAGTGAAATCAGTCCAGGTTTTGAAGCAAGTTTAAGTCTGTTGCAAAGTTTAGCACAAACAGATATGCATCGTAGTTCTGAAATGATGAGTATAACAAAATCGATAACAGCATCATCATCATCACCATTATCAATGTCCACTACAACTACAACAACACCACCACCGCCAACAACAACAACAACGTATACAAAATTTTGGACTGATTCAAATATTCGTTTATTCTTAGATGATATTGATGATTTAATACGTCGGATATTAACTGTACTCACAGCGACAGCTGAAATGCACAGACACTGTGATGATCCTGAACGCATAGTTGATCTACAATATGCACTAGCTAAATCATACAGTAGTAATCCAGCTTTAAGACGGTAAGTTATTTTCTGCTTAACTGACAACAGATACAACATTTGTTTTGTTTTTTAAAGATTGTGTTGTAGTGTCTAAGTGATAGTGTGCATATTGAGTTGAAAATTTAGACGATCTCCTACAAGCTTGTGATTGTTCTATCGTCATCATCATCAGCAGCAGAGTGAGCTTAGTATACAAGAGTGGAAGTGTATTTGAATAATAATAATAATAATAATAATAATAATAATAATAATTATTATTATTATTATTATTATTATTATTATTATTATTATTTGCTTTATTCCAAAACAGTACTTGTGTAACGACAGAAGGCAAAAGTCAGGCAACAGATCATTTATTAAGGAAATCAACGCATATTTATATATACTTTCATGTGCATTACTATGGATATTTAAGCAAACAAACACATTCTTCCGATTGGTTGTTTCTCACGTAAAGTTAATCTTTCATCTATTTGTGACTGTTTCATGAATGTCAGATCCTCTATATGTTAACTGCATCCGCCTACGCAAAGTCTGCTATGGTCGGTTTTGAATCAATCTTTGTTCACATTTTCTCACGACAAATCTTGGGAACGTAAATATTGACGTAAATTACTGTCTACCAATTTGGCTAGTAGACAGTTCTCACCACACTTGTGATACAGAATGGAATCTTCTGCATTTTTACCACAGTATTGCATCCAGTTAGTACATTATCAATAAATAGAATTCTACATAGATTAAGGAGATCTCAGTTCATTATGACAACAACATATTGGCATGTCGGTAGCAAAGCCAAAGTTGAACAGTGTTTGAAGGTATTAGAAAAGTAGGTGCTATCATATTTACTGGCGTAAGTGGAAGAAAGAAACAAAGCAGCACATAACGGAAAAAAGAGAGAGAGAAAAGGAAAAGAAAGAAAGAAAATGTTGTACCTATAAATGATATGAGTTGGAAAGACGAGATCCAGTTTTACTACTGACTATTTAATAAGTTATAGGTATCAAGCCTAATGCTTTCTTTATCGTACAGAACACGAGCTAAGTAGGGTATGGTTGAGTTTTTGTACTTGCTGGTGCGAGCGTATAGTTTTCTATATAGGCTTCTGGTTTGGCCTGATGAGATGCAAGGGGAGAGTTGTGAATGAAGAGGGTGGTGTGAGTTAGATATAATGGATTTGGCCCATTTTTCACATGAGTCGATGTGCCTGTCGACCAGAATATTAACAAGCTGGTTAAGTGGAACGTTGTTTACCCTGCTGACAACCTTTAACATCCTGCGTAATAAGGTATTGTCTTTCTTCAGTAGCCTGGGGGAGAGAGAATAATAGGCAGAATGCGAGAGTCAACGACTTGTAGGAGTAAGGGTTGGGTTATACCAGAATGTCTTAACTTCTTGATGTAGAAGGTAAGAGGGAATATTTTCTTAGAAATCGTCAAGATATGAGACGACCAAGAAAAATCAGCAGATAGAATGACGCTTAGGTATTTAATTTCCGACTTGGTTTCTATTTCAGTGCCATCTATGTTGCACACCTCGTGAGAGCTAACCAGTTTGTTTACGTCAGATTTATGCCTAAAGGTGAAATTGACTGTTTGGCATTTGGAGGGGTTTAGGGTAAGACCGTTTTCCTTGTACCACTGGTTGATTTCTGATAAAAGCCATTTAGTTTAGAGCAGTCACTTTGACATTTGACAGGCAAAGATACAGTCAGTTCGTCAGCATATTTGACAAAATTCATGTCATTTGAAAATGGTAAGTCATGTAGAAAGAAAGGAAAGAGAAGTTGGGTGAGTACAGCACCTTGGTGGACACCAGCTTCAGTGAGTACAGCAGAGGATGATTTACCTTTGTATACGGTGTACTGCATTCTGTTAGAGAAGTAGGAATGCAGCCAGTTAGTGACCCAGGCCTCAGTTTATGTCATAGAGAACTTATTTAGCAAGAGACATCTAGGTACAGACTCGAAAGCAAAAGTGAAATCGAGAAACGTGCAGCGGACGTATTTAGCACCTTTATCTGATGATGAGACGATACTGTTGTGTAAGATGGCTGTAGCATCTAAAGTGCTCCTACCCTGTCTATAGGCAAATTGTTTGGGTTCTTTAAAAATTTTAAGGGAGGGTTCAAGTTTAAGAAGTATTAGTTTTTCCATAAGCTTTAGAAACGGGGAAGTGATGGCAATGGGTCTGAACTTTACGTTCTTGCTAATGCCAGGTTTAGGGACAGGGTCTATTTTAATGTCTTTCCATGCAACAGGTACAACGTTATTGGAGAAAGAAGCATTTAGGACGTCAGTTAGTGGAGAACATAAAGCATCTGCACATTGTTTTAGAACATATGCAGGTATACCATCAGGGTAAAATATAGCAAAATATAGGATCACAGTTCAGGGATGTGAATTAACGAATAACATTCGAGGTAATAATAATAAGGATAAATTCATTCAAGTATTTATATAATCTAGTCAACGGTGAGTGTATAGGGAGAATGTACGTACTAGTAGAGGAAGAGGGGAAAATAACTATTGTCACATAGCAACTAGATAATATAATAATAGTAATAATAATGATAAATTGTGAAACTGAGAATCAAGTGTACAACTACAGCACAGTATGATATTGATAATACAGTTAGTAGTGTAAATAAAACTAATATTTACAGTCATCTGGTGTCCACATTTAAGTGACTGACTGGTTTCAACGTAGAACTTTGCACAGATGTGTACCAGTTCAACTCGCCACACTCCCTCAATGTAACACACAAAGCGAGAGAAGAGAGTAAAGAGAGATTCAAAAAAGCCAGACAGATAATAAACAGAAATATAAGGCAAAAAAGAACAATGATATGGAAGAACAATAGAATTTTATTGGACATTATAAATAACAAGGAGTGGATGCATCTGCGCTATTCATTGAGAAGGCGGATTTTGCAGCTATATCATCAATTGTCTCCAGCCTTCATTGGTTTTCACCACCCTGAGGATCCCAACCAGCTAGCCAGAAAGGCAGTCTACACCTCCTTACTTGACTTGTCGGCTGGCTGGCTGACTGGCTGAAACTAACTCTTATGGATTTGATTGACTGATGAAGCCGTGTTTTGGTTCCAACTTGATCTGATGTCAGTCAGCTACAGTTGTCCATCGAGGAAGGTGATTGATGGCTAGACATGCATACATAACACATGTCCTAACCATCCCACTCAATCGACATAACTTCACAACCTCCCCATGTAACACCAGAAAAGATGAATATTATAGGTTGGTGTTGAATACCATGGGAAAGGGAGACGGACCGAGCAACCTTTTTCTGAACACAAAGACTTTGATGAAAGTTTTTTAAGGCAACCGCCTCAGTTATGAGTTTAGCAATCGAATGCGTAAAAACTTATTGCTATCTATTAATTCACATCCTTAAACTCTGATCCTATATTTTATTAACTATACTTATTCAAATGCCTATGACAAATACTTTCATTGTTCAGATGTATCTGTCATTATGCTTTGGTTTATAATATTTTATTTATGATAGAGTCGATAGAAGTTTTATTGAAGTCACTAATTTAAATCTTGTTATGTTCAATGTTTAAATACAGTTTTAAACAACACTTTCATCACGGAAGTTATTCGTGAGATGTTTTTCTTCAATCCTCCGTAAGGTAGGAGTACTGTAATGAGTCCTGTCTCTCTTGAATAATGTTTGCGTGCAAATCTTTTTGTGTGCCATTTATTGGGTTGTTGTGTCGTTGTGTAGTTGATTATTCGATTCGTGTGAGTTGATTTTCTGTAAACTTGAGTTTTTAATTTTCCTGTGGTTGTTCGCTTCACTAAGACATCCAAAACTGGAATTTTGTCCTTGGATTCCTCTTCCGTTTGCGAAATTGATGTCGTTGAAGATATTGTTTATTAAGTTGTGAGTTTTGGCTAACTCGTTTCTTTTGATTATCACATATTTTGTCATCCAAGTAACGTAGCGAAGTTCTGGTTTTGATCTTCTCATTAGGATTATGTATCATTATGGTCTACTGTAAAAAAAGTAGTACATATTGTTTCTCGTCAGCTTCTAACCATTCATACTTCAGTGTTTATGATGTACCCATAGAAGAACTTTTCAAAAAGTCAATGTTTTCCTATTTTCTTTATTATTTTTTTTCAAATACACTTTAGTACTTGGTTGGAAGAGTTAGCTAAACTACATATGGATTCAAGAAGTTTCACAGAATTGGCTATGACTAAACTTCATATTGCTGCTTTAATGGCAGAGTACTTGAAACGTCGAGGTAATTCATATTTTTGTCTTTTGATAGATAACGTGTTATTTGTTATTTCTAAAATTCTTTTGTTTTCTGTCATATGTGTTTTTGGTTAAAAAATCACCTGAAATATCATTAGTGTTCGATAGCATGCATGTAAGGGGCGTGCGATTAGTTTCACTGACAGTTGTTCGTTGTTTCATTTCATTGATTGTTTGAGGGGCTGAGACACTGCGGCGGGGAGAGGCGCTCAGACTGAAGCAAATGGTTGTCTTAAGGAACCCCTCCCTCCCAGCCTTTGACCTGGAGTCTAATCTACAAGGCAGCTGAGCAGCGTCAGGAACTACGTTCCCATGGTTGCCAGTGACCAATACAGATCCATACGCCATTTAATCCGACTGGATTCTGGAGCCCCATGTACCTCATAGTTGAAAGCAAGTTGAATTTATTATAATGCTGATAGGTAGACAGTTTTTCACCTTAATAATAATAATCTAAATATCTCAGCTATGCATTTATTGTATCTGTTTATCAGACTTCAGTGCTATTCCAGTGCTATCGTCACTTCCTGAATCATCTGGTGACATTTATAAAATTGATTACAACACCTGCAGAATACACTAGATTAAGCGAGGAAAAAAATGGACGCCTTCTTCATTTACACCAAATTCATCAATATTAACTAACAATCAGAAAACATAACATACATTCGTTCTTATCAATTAACGTAGATGATAAATACAGATATGAATTCAACTGGGGACAATATAAAACTCGCAAACATAGGACTGGCACAGTGGTTAGGACTCCCCACATGCATGGTCCGGGGTTCGATCCCCTGCCGACGCACACCCGATATCTATGGTCGGCCTGCAAAATTTTGGCTACCGATATCCATGCTGAAAATTCCATACTTGTACTGAAAATACGGTGTGGCATCAAGCTGTAACATATAATGCATCTAGTTAGGACCGAATCTTTAAACTGTTCAGTAGACTTATTTCAGTAGAACTTCAAATCAGGTGTCGGATATATTATTTTTTTTATTCCGTTACATTCCCATTGGAACAAAGGGTTTCAAGCTAGCGATCTTTGAAATTTCTACAGCAGTGGTTTTATTTTTACACAGGATGGAGTTGTTAGTCTCACGCCCTCTTTACCGACCAGCCTTACTACCATAGGCTTAGCGAGGTTCGCGAGTGATTCTGTGGCCAGGGATCGAACTCCGGACCGTGTGTAATAATGATAATGAGGTTAGTAGCTAAGGTTGTCAGTTAACTGAGATAGCGTCACACATAGATTACAAGTAGGAGATAATAGAAGAGCCGATTATCTCGCTGACAAAATAGTAATTCATAGGTTTCACGCTTTACATTGTCCCTATCGCATAGAACATGGGTTGGCCAAATATGATATCGTTGAGTTACCATACTTGTTAGTACGAGCATATAATCTTTTGTACTGACTTCCAGTTCTACCAGATGAGATACAACTGTGGGAAGAGTTGAGAATAGAAGGTGTGGGTGTTGATAATGAGACAATCTGGATTTAGACGACTTCTCTGATGAGTTCAGATGTCTATCAACTAATATAGTAAGTGATAAGCTGACTGACTAATTTGTACACCCCTTGACCTACTGACAACCTTTCATACCCTTCTCAATATGACATAGTTGGGGGAAGGGGGAGCAGTAAAGTACAGTAGGTAAGATAGAAGAGTTAGCGAATTGTTGGAGCAGAGGTTGAGGGATTTAATGTAAGGCCATTTAGCGAAGACCATTTGACGAAGTTGATTTCATTCGAGAGAGGTAAGTCGTGTAAGAAGAAAGAGAAAAGAAAAACGGAGAGAACAGCGCCCTGAGGAACATCAACTTCAGTAAGCAAGACAGAAGAAGATTCACCCTTATATTCACAGTATACTGCATTCTATTTGAGAAATAAGAATACAACCAGTTAACAATTCAGGACTCAGTTTGCATAAGGGAAAGCTTATTTAACAAAAGGCATCTAGGTACTAAGTCAAAAGCAGATGAGTAGTCAAGAAAGGTACAACAATACATATTTGGCTCCTAGAAAACTATTTTATAGAAATCTCATTCATTATTGTGCTGTGAGTGTTGTGGATCCATTCAATTCTTATATATTTCTCTCTTATAGATCCTTTGATTTCCTCCTCCCCCTCCCTCCTCTTTTCTCTACCATTTTGTGTGTGCTACTTGGAGTATGCCAACTTCTGTGCAAAGTTCTACGTTGAAACTTAGTTGAATCGTTCAGTGTATACCACGGGGGGATACGTTGACCTCGTCTCTGTTTCAACAAATTTCATTTCTTCACATTTAAACAGCTTTTACCATTATTATTATTCATAGGGCTTCAAACTAGAGAGCTTTGAAGTTTCGGTAGCAGTAGGTTTCTTCTCTTTTTACAGGATGGGGATTGCTAGCCTCACATTTAACCTTCCCCGTTTACCAACCAGCCTTACTACTACCGGCTTAGTGAGGTTTAGGAGTGCGTCAATGGCCGGGGATCGAACTCCAAACCGCTGAAAACACCAATAAATACTAAAGTGTTTTCTATGAATGACATAAAAATAAAAATCACCTTCATAATCTAAAAGATGCAACCCGGTTGGTCTTGAAGAATCTATCAGCAGAAGGCTTAGTTGAGCCTTTTAGCCAATAACCCTGAAATATTAAAAAAGAGGGGGAGTCGAACCTTCTCCATCACCTGTTGCTGAAGTTAAATATGATACAATACAGCATGCAAATCTTTTTCTCAATAGATAGTGAAATCCAAATACCGGGGACAGTCATACTAAATAGCTAGCTATCTAGACATACGTAGATAGGGTAGGGAGGGAACCATTGACTCAATAGTTGAATATTTCATCTCTGTGAAAATAAGCCACAGATACACTACAATCACAAGAAAAACTTTCGAATTAAACTCTCTCGATCACAAACAATCTAGACAGAAATCAGTTGTTTGTGTGAAGTCGTTGTGCGTCGGTGGCACAGGGGTTAGGACTCTCGCCGACCATGCACATGGTCCGGAGTTCGATCACCTGCCGACGCACACCTGATTTCAATGGTCGGAATGCAAAATTTGGTCTACCAATATCACGTGCTGAAAATTCCATACTTGTACCAAAAATACTGTGCAGCTTCAAGCTATACAATCAAAAGCTATAAAAATTGTCTGGAGCTAAGTTTATCAGCAAGGTGTATATTATATTGCTAACCTAGTGATTTAAGCGTCGATGAACACCCTATCTTGGATTGTAGTCCCTTGCTTGAACAACTCAAAACAACAACACTTAAGCAGAGAAGAAGAAAATTAACCCAGTGATCGAATTGTGAAGTAGTGCCATTTTGTTCTGTTAAGCATTTAGGATTCGTGACTTAGTGTCTGTAGAGCTTTTGATAACTGGATTGTTAAGGCTTTCAGAGCATCAAAAACACAGCCAGTAAAACAAATTTGCTAATTATTCTAACTTGTAGTTTACCTTGGAATAAATGGTATTTTGTGAACATATATTTTCCTATAGAAAATGTGTAGTGTATATGCCGTTTAAAAATGTCGAGTTTATTCTCTGTACACACCGTTTCTTCTTTGTGATTATGATTTGGTGAACTCCAATCGATCAGACAGTTGTTGTCGTTACTAGTGTTTACCAGACAAAGACAAAGATGTTCCAACTTGTGGACAGTGTCATCGTATATATATGAATATATGAATGATACATATTGTTGTGTTTTGTGGTATTAAGACTTTTTGGAATGCATTTTATCTTATTTCACTTAATAAGTTTGTTAGTGTACCAAAATGTGTACAACGCACACACACACACGCACTCACACACCGAGGAACATATCTACATACATACAGACGTGTTTAGTCTCGATGTCTATAAATTCTCCATTTCTACACACATTAGTGATTATTGGTCTTGTATTTTTACACAGGAATTTGTATGACACAGATTTTGGCATACAATCACAGTCACAAAATAATCTAACTAACTCGCATTAGTAACTGGTATTGCATATTTTCTTTTTCTTTTTCAGGCCTTTTAGAGTGTGAGTTTGTGTTGTCCATCATTTTGCGCGTTTGCCTGCCTGTCTGCCTGTCAGTATGTCTATCTATCTATTCGTTTATCCATGTGTTTGTGACTTTTTATTTCGGGGTGACGAGGGTGTGCCACTTATAATACGTTTGCGTTTGCCACTCGCACTCATTCGCATTCATCTCTCAGACTAACATACCGTTAAAGCGCTGACTGCTCTCTGTATGCTGTGTGAAATAGTGCAACGACGCACACTACTCATGAATAGATAGATAGACTGACAAACAACATGAGATTTTGTTGCATCACTTTCTGACACACTCGTCTTATTCACTCACTCTCCTTCATCCTCTATGAATACCGGGGTGGTGTTTGTCTCATTTTTATCTAAGGGTATGAACACTATTTTTTTTTCGTTGTTGGTGCATTTGTTTGTTTGTCCTGTGTGTGTGTATGTTTATGTATACAAATATGACATAGATAATGATGATTGTGCTTTTTCTTTTTCAAACAAAAAGGAACCAAATAAAATTGGGTTTTTTATTTTACACAAATTGACATTTAAGAGAAAAGAAAAGTTTTAGACTATAAAGAAAAAAAACGTTGGTGGGGTTGTTGCTTTTATTTTTCTTTTGTTTTACACTTTTTCCGGCAAAACATTCATTACAGTGGATGTCATTCCGTCGACATACTCATAGTATTGGTATTAGTAGTAGTAGTAGTTTTCTTCTCTAGTGTTATTTAAATTTTTCAGATAGATGCTTTTTTTCGCTTTTTTTGTTGTACTCAAGAAAAATTTTGATATGGCCAATTCCTTTTAGACTGATTGATTGATTGATGTGACTCGTATGACCTACTAGCGTAGGCGTTTCGACTAGACAAGGTGAATTTGTTTAGAACTCAGTAATCGTGATCAGAATTTTTCTTCGTGTGTGTATTACTGAGGGGGGGGGGCAGGCACATATGTGTTATGTGAAGGCGGATGGTACTACCAAGTTGTCTGAGTTGAGATTTGAACCTGCGATCCATTGTTGGCTATAATTTTTTTTTTTAATTTTATACATTTATATAATTATAAACAGAGCTAAACCATTGCAATATGTAAAAGAAACGCTGAAAATTCCATGCTGTAAATTGTTATTGTTGTGGAATAAAGTGATTATTATTATTATTATTAAAAAAGGTAGTCGAGTATTTAAACCACATCACCACGGAAACGTGGAATTTACTTGGCCTGGTCTTCAGTTTATTGATGAATAGTACTAGTAGTAGTGTAACAACAGAAGACAAGGGTCAGGCAACAGATCGTTTATTAAGGAAAATCCACACATATTTATAGATTTTAATGTACATTATTGTAGATTATTGTTAGTAGAAAATACAATCTTTTGATTGGTTGTTTCTCACAGAAAGTTAACCTTCCATCTCTTTGTGGCTGTGTCAGATCATCCATATGCTAACTGTATCCGCCTTTGCAAAGCCTTTGTTCTCATTTTCTCACCACCAATATTGGGGACATAAACATTGACGTCAATTACTGTCTACCAACTTTGGCTAGCAGCCAGCTCTCATCACAGTAGTAGTTCTGTGATAGTAATGGGCGTCATTCATATGTGATTTGTTTAGTGGTGGTCGTAGCGGCTGCGGTCGCAGTGGCGGTGGTGGATAATGATGGATTGACTGTAATGAGTGTTGGTCACTATTGTCTCTCATGAAATGCTGACATGCAAAACTCATTTAGATGTTACTTCGATTGGACACTAGATAGTAAATATGTAACGACAGAAGACAAAGGCCAGGCAACAAATCGTTTATTGAGAAAATCAACAGATATTTATAGAATTTTATGTACATTATTACTAGTGTTATTGTTAGTGGAGAAGCAGTCTCTTCTGATTGGTTGTTTTCTTGCTGAAGATTATTCTGTCATCTCTTTGTGTCTGTTTCTTAGAAAGTGAAGGCATATATCTGTGAATCGTATTTGCAGGCGTTAAGTCTGCTGTGATTGGATGGTGATTTCCTCAAGGTTAAGCTTTGTTACTGTGTTTTTTCTCATGACTCCGATTCGGGACGTAAACATTGACGTTAACTGTTGTTGTCTACAATTTTGGCTTGCAGACAGTTCTCACCACAACTAGTCCTTTCTTTGGTGCAGACTGAATTCTGTCTTCAATCAAGTTTGCAATGTGACTACCAACAAGCTAGGTGGCTCGTTATCGCGGTACACTTTGAATTCAATACTGTCCCATAGAGTAGGTCAGTCACCAGCCGGAATAGCTCAGTGGTAACATCTCTAACTGCAGGTGGCATTGGGTGATGCGGGTTCGAATCTCAGAAGGTAGGAAATGAATTTCTTCTAGTCGGTTACAGATACGCCTTGCTGACTGACTGACTGGTGTGGATGTCAATTAGCAGGAAACCCATGTATGTTAGGTAGGGTTTCCTATGCCCAATTGTTTCCAACCATCTAAAATATCGTTTATGGATGTTCTTTTTTTCCATTGTTGGATTACCTTTACTGGATGATTAAAATCGCTGGTCATAACCAACGATTTAGTTGAAACATTTTTTACCTGTATGTGTTGCTATCCTATCGGATAATTTAGAAATCCTTCTAACTGAATACTGTAGAAGTACCAATAGCATGATTGAAATTAAGTTGGACTAGTGTTATCACTACACTTTCATTGGCATTTGTGGTTTATGATGAATTTGTAGATATGCATAACAGTAGTTGAATTGTAAAAGATTTACTCAATGTTTATTGCATATATGATGTTTCTGTAAAGCGTAACATACCACCACCCAGCCCCCCCCAACCTCATAGGCAGAAATATATTTAATTCTCTATTATCGTTTCATTTAACTTTTGATAAATGCATTGAATAGTCTAAAATACCATAGTCTTTTAGCTTTATAAGATGATAAGTATCCCTAGTAGGAAGTGTGCTCGTGGAAGTGTGTGGGCGGTTGTTACTTCCCGGCTGCCCACACCTTGGAAGTTGCTTGATTCTTTGGGTACTTGAAACAGAAAGAGGGTTAGTGTTGCGTGACCTCAGAGCCCAGGGGACAACTGCTTGATGGTGGCCGGTCACACACGGCCTGTATGAACTGATTTCTTAGTTTGGTTCCGTATTAGTAAACTTACCACCGGTTACGGACCACCGTAGGGTAAGTCGGGATGTACAATTTTTGGGGTCTACCTTTACAAACCGCTTCTCTGCGGAGTGGAGAGACAGCATAGCTGGCTGATATGCTGGTCATCTGAGGGAAACACCTCACTGCTGTTACACCCCTGTTCCCCAGCAGTAGGACTTCGCCCTCAGACCCCCAGCATAGTGTAAAATAATTCTTACACTACGCTGGTAACTGGTTTTAGTCTAATCGCTATCCTAACAACCTGCAAGAACAATAGTTCCAGACAGTGTAGCTTGTTGGGCCATTGCGATGTGCAAGCCCGACCACCACGTCAAGGTAGTAGCTATCGCACAAGTATCCCTAGTACCTTACTCTGCTACTACTACTATCCCTAGTAGAGTTACAATAAGCTAAGAATAGGCAGCAAGAAAGTTAGAGATTTTAGATTTGACTTAATATAAAGAAGAAGAGAAGGAAGCTCACTTCACTTTCACCATATACTAAGTGATTGACTGACTCGCTGACTCACTGACTGACTGGTTTTAACATAGAACTTTACACAGATGTGTAGCAGTTCAACTTGCCACACTCCCTCCTAGTAGCACATAAACCAAGAGAAGAGAGTAAAGAGAAATTCAAAATAGAGATATAAACAGAAGTATGAGGGCGGAAAAAAGAATAGTAATATGGAAGAATAGTAGAGTTTTACTTGATATGGTAAATCTGAAAGAGTGAATGCATCTGCACCATTCATTGAGAAGGAGGATTTTGAGTCATATCATCAGTTGTCTCCAACCTTCATTGGTTCTTACCATCCCGTGGACTCTAACCAGCTAGCCAGAAAGCCAGTCTACACCTCCATACTTGACTGACTGGCTGGCTAACTGGCTCAAGCTCTTATGGATTTGATTGACTGATGAAGCCATGTTCTGGTTCGGCCACCACTGGCAGCTCTTTTCCAATCTGATCCTACGTCAGTTAGTTAAGGTGACACGTTGCGGAAGGCGATGCCTCGAAATGCATGCGTAACGCATATCTTAACCTTCTCAATCGATGCAGCTGCTTCACAGACTCATCGATTGATTTTCCCTTCTTGCCTAACATTCGGCTGAAGCCTAATCTCAATATTATTCACCCTATTACACTCACCATCTAACACGGGAGGGAGACAGCTGTGATCAAAGACAGCTAGCCAGGCTTTTCCTCTCTTCTACTTTCAATGGCCATGTCTCGTTCACAGCCATAAAGGAGGATGGAACGAACTGCGGCTCTGCAGTATACACATCCTTTGATCTCTAACCAACCGGGTATCTCGTCTACACCAGAGATGATGTAAGTTGTCAAATACCACATTTGCCTTATGTATGCGTGCTGGGATTTCGTCAACGATCAACCCACTGGGTCGGATGTGGCTTTCGAAATAAGTGAATTGATCAACATGCTCTACCACAACTTCACTACTGCCTACCTTTAAGCTAGAAGTGAGTCGATGTAGTCCAGTCCTGTAGCACCGTCTTTTTCGGGTGAGCTAGTTCTATTGAATTTAGGGAGGGGAATATTTCACATTTTGAATATGATTGTCTATATGTGTGCATGTGCGTCTGTTTGCATGTGTGTAAGTATGTGTGTACTTGGCATGATTTGCATTTATTTCTTAAATTGCCCTGTCTTGTATGCTAAAACACCGTAATCTCTTTGTAGACTTCATACTTATCATTGTTTTCAAGATAATGTTTGTTACTGCGCCTATAATTACTATTATTATAGTATAATGCTTAATTTTGGTGCATCTTTCCCTTGTTCCTGCCTCTTAAATCCTCTCCCCTCTGCCTATACCGATGCCCTACATAACATACAAAGTTTCTATTGGTTTTC